CTCTCTTCCGTGGGTCGTTGAGCGTCCCAAACGGAGCTGCTACGTGCGCCGGTCCTCACCCAGTGAGTGCGGTCCCCGCCGCCGTCCGAGCAGCGGGCTTTACGCGGGGGACGGGGTTATCCTCATCCTGGGGACTGAGTCTGGGTGGCCGCGGCGTGGGGTCCGTGGATGTGTGTGGGTGTCGCTGCAGCCCGGCTGTCCCCTGTGTGCCGCACGCACGGACGGGAGCTGCTGTGCCGGCTTACCCCCCCTTTCCCCCCAGGTCGGGGGCTGCGGGGCGGGAGGGAGGTGCCGGTGGTGGCGGCTCCTGGCAGGTGTCACGTTAGCCTGAAAGTGGCGGCTGCAGACAAAGGACCGAGCTGGGGGGAGGGGAGCTGCGCCCGAGCTGGACGTGAGCTCTGCGGGGGAGGACACGGGGTAGGGGGTCCCTCTGCAGCTTGGGGTCTCGGCCACCACCCTGCTGCCGCCACCACAGACGTCCCCTCGCCTGGAATCGATGCGCAGAGCAGGCGCGGTGGCACCCGGTTGGGCTGAGTTGGGCACGCACCCCGCACTATATGGGGGGCTACAGCCCCCTGCTCCCCGCACAAGTCCTTCCTAGGCGGGCACCCCGCACCTAGTGCTCCCCGCATGGCCCCATCCTCAGAGGGACGCTGCAGAGCTGGCACAGCAGGTGGCACGCTGCCCCCCGGCTGCAGCCACTTTGGGTGCAGAACACCGCATACGCAGGGTGCAGCGGCACCAGCACCCAGCTGGGCATGGAGCACGGCCGTCCTCATGGCACCGCGGGGCCGCAGTGACCCACAGATAGAGGATAGAGGAGGTGCCGGGACGGCGGCTGCGCCCCGTGCTGGGTGTGCAGTGGCAGAGCCGGGCAGCCGGGGGGTGGCGGTGCCATCAGTGGTACCGGGTAGCGCGTTGCGGGAGCTCACCCGTCAGCATCGCTCGCTTGGCAGGCAGCTCACAGCCGGCCGCGGCGCGACGGAGCCCAGCCACCTGCGTGTCCGCTGCTCGGCACGGTGGGCTGGGCCTCGGCGCTTTGGGCACCCCTCTAGTCCGGCACGGTGTGGCAACCGCTCCCGTTCCCAGAGATGCTGGGGGATTTGGGTACCCAGGTGCCTGTGCTGGGGCCTTGCCTGCAGCCACGGAGCACCGTCTTCAGACCTCGCTCTGCTCCCGGTGCCCACAGGGAAGGGCATGAGCAGCCGCATGGGCTGGGGCTCATCCACGGGCAGCAGGGCAGAGCCAGCGCTGAGGTGCCGGGGCTGCACTGCCCAGCCGCTGCTCCGGTGGGTGGGCACAGACAGAGGCAGAATCCTTCCCATCACTGCCTGAGAACCCTTTCCTTTCTTCTCGGCACCCCCCTTCCAGGGACCTCCAGAGCACAGCCTGACCCCCACAGCTCACTGCATCCCACAAAGGGCCCAGCAGCAGGGCAGGCAGCAGGGCAGTGCTGGTGCTCGTGGGGCAGCCGGGAAGCTGCCGTGCCAGCTGTCAGCACGAGCGTGGCAGACGCAACCTGCCCAGGGCTGTTTGTTCTGGCTGGGTGCCACACGGGGCTGGCACTACATCAAACCTGGAGGAGCCTGGCAGGTGCCGGTGGGAGGGGACGGGGTGCTGGCGGTGATGCTTGGGGCTGGGCCATGGGTGCTGTCCCACCTGGGGCCACTCAGGTGTCAGCGCCTGGGGAGTTTCAGCATGGGGACCGCATACTGCACGTATCCCTCCCTCAGTGCTTGCCCTGCTCTGGCTGTTGGCAACGTGGCTGCTCCCACAGGCTGTGTGCTGCCCTGCAGATAGGGCACGTGGGGTTCCCTTCTGCATCCTAGGGGCATTCTCAGGTCCCAGCCCTTTCCCTCCCAGCCCCAGGGCTGTGGCACTTTGGGGCTGCAGGTCACTGCTGTGTGGCAAGAATCTGTGGGTGGGATGGGGCCATACCTGGCACCAGGGCCGTGTGTGTGTGCAACCACCCAGTTCCCCTCCTACTGCAACGAGGGACCAAGGGCTGAGGGTGACCTTGACGCTCCTCCCAGCGGGGACAGAGCGCGCTTTGCTCTTCACTGTCAGTTAAAGGAGAGCCAGAAAAGCCGCTCAACTCACCCTGGTCAGGTTCCATCTCCAGCACGGCCTGGTGCCAGCATGGGGCTAGGGCAGTCCCCAGGCACCACATCAAGCTGGCATCCTCTCCTCACACAGTGCTCCTATTGCTGCTTGTGGGGCTGGCACGGCATGGCACACAGCCTGCAGGGGGATTGGGGCCAGGGAGGCACCCAGGAGCAGAGCTCAGTGGGTGCCATAGTGCAGTGGCTGAGATGCTCTGGTGTGCCTGTGGCGTGGGCACACTTTGGGCGGCGTTGGCGGTGCGAGGGTGCAGCCTGCAGAGCTGTGCCCACACTGGCACATGCTAATTGCATGTAATGGGGAGAGCGTTATCAGCTAAAATCCGTAATTAGGCAGTTCCATTGTCATGCAAACCCGCCTGACTAATTCATTCATAACAACCACACGCTTAATCAGCGCCCAGACGCTGCCACACGCTTGCCAGGAGCTGGGCACACTGTGATCCCCTCCTGCAGCGCTGCAGGACGTGGCTGCAGGGCCGGCTGGCACCTGTAGGGCACAGTCCTGCCCGGCGTTGGCATCCGACCCCACTGGCTCTGTTCCCGGACAGGATTGGCACTGCCACTTCAGCCCCTGCCCAAGGGGACCCCATCGCCAGGCCATGCTGGCACCCTATGGCACAGCATCCTCTGCCCCCCGGCCACCCTCCTTCCCCTCGTTTAGGCGGGTGCAATCAGCAGCAATTATCGCTTTAATTACCTGCTGCCGGGGTGCAGGCTGGGCGCCTGCAAAGTGTGAGGATATCTTTCATTTTAATGGAGTGCCAGGCCTGGCGCGGGGCGCGATTTATGGGGCTCCAGCTGGGGATTTAATTTGCCGGCTGCAGAGCCTACAGTGATGTGGAGAGATCCCCGGGGGGGCACAGCTGGAGGGGGCAAAGGCTGGCAGGCAGGTCCCCACTCCGCAGTGGGGACGGGAGGAAGTGTGTGTTGGGGACAGGGGTGGCACAGAGCTGTGTGTTGGGAACAGGGGTGTCATGGGGCTGGTGGCACTGCTGCAGTCACCCATGGGCAGCCTGTCCTTGCCAAGAGCATGCTGACCTTCCCGCGTCCCCACACAGCAGCTGTGTTTGCAGGGTGGTAGCCAGGGTGCTGGGTGAAGGGGTGCACACATCCCCCCTGCTGGCACAGGAAGCACCCGGCCCTGCAGAACCCCGAGGTCCTGTGTCCAGACACAGGCATGCTGCCCCTTCATTAGGCTGCCGGTGTGCTCGTTAGCCCACGTGGGTGGGGGATAATTGATAATAAAGCCCTGCCTAATGCACTAGGTTTACTGGCGATGATTTATCAAGCTGCCGTCCCAATTACCCGCTCTGCTGCTGAGACGGCGGCTGCTCGGGGCCGTGCTCCCTGCACTGCAGTGGGGGTGCTGGAGGGGAGCGGGACCCAGAGCCCCCCATCCCTGTCCCCCATCCTCCCTGAAGTTAGGTGGCTCCACTTGCCAAGGTGACATGAGCATCTCTCCTGTTTCCATGGTGACGCAGCAGCAGGTGAGCGCGAGGCCGAGCGCGCAGTGTGGGAGCCCCGCACACACGTGGGGTGTCCGTGGTGCTTGGTGTGTCTGCAGCGGGGGCTGCCCATGGTCTGTGAGGGGTGTGTGGTGCTCAGGGTGCTTGTGGCACATGGGGTGCTCACAGTGCGTGGGATACCACTGGTGGGTGCCCTGAAGGTATTTGGGATGGCTGTGCTCAGGGTGCCCGAGGTGCAAGGAGAGCCAGGGCTGCTTGGGGTGTCTGTGAAGCTTGGGGTGCACGTGCTGCATGCAGCACCCACACCGTGGATGCCCTGCCTCATGGATGCAGCCCCACTGAAACCCCTCGGTGCCATCACTGTGCTGTGGCACTGCCCTGCTGGTGTCAGTGGCAGGGTGGCATCCCCCCTCAGGAGCTCCATGTGCTGCATTGCACTCAGTGCCTCCCTACAGTCTGCTGCCCGTGCTCTGACCCTGCCCACCAGGCACCCGTTGCGGGGGTAGCTGGGGCGGCTCCTGCGATGCTGCCTCCCACATCCCTCCACGCAGCTGAGATGGACAAACACCCAGCTCAGAGCTCTCTGGCCTCATTCTGCAGGTGATGAAAGGCAGGTCTCCAGAGCACTGCTCACCCATTCACCGTCATTCCAGCCGCAGCCCGGCAGCTTGATTGCTGTGTGGAGGCAATAATGGTGATTAAATCCGTATTTGGCACTGGATGGCCCTTCTGCCCAGCACAGCCCCGGGGTGCATGGGTGGGAGGTGTAAGGGGTACCCGTGGGATAAGCCGTGAGGACTGCAGGGCCCTGTGCCACTGCTGGCACGTGTGGCCACACCATCAGTTGCGAACTGCAGTCCATGTCCGCACCATGACCCCCAGGCCAGCTCCAGGGCTGCGGCTGGGGGGGTCATTAAAGCAGTGAAATATGAAATGCCTGTCTATCCCGGACAGGGGTTTTAATTAAATTAATTGCTAGTGACATTGTAAAAGTGCTGATGGGGTAATAACTGGCGCGTTATGGTGGCTGTTCATCTTCTCCGTGTAAATGAGCTGCCGCACCTTGCCCGTCCCGGTGGGCATGGCAGCTGGGATTGCTCAGCACTGCTTCCTGCTGTGGAGAGACATTGTCCGTCCGGGGGGAGCAGTGAGTGCTGACCCCCCCATATGGCTCAGCCAGGACCCGAGGGATGCCCGTGTCCCCAGTGCCCCCTGTGTCCATGCTGTGTGGGTGGGCAGGAGCCCCTGTGCCCCATGTGATGAGTGGGGGCACAGTGGCCGCATGGGGGGCAGCGGGCGGGTGCCAAACGAAGGCACTTAATTACTGCGCATTCCATCCCATTTAATTGCTTATTAAATCCTAACCAGCCAATTAGCAGCAGCAATTACAGCTTCATTCGGTGACACAATCGCTATTTTATCGTTTGTTAATCAAATGCTTATTTAGGGCCCTGTTTTATTAACTCTCTGCAGCAGGTGCCTGAGTGGGGCTGGGGACACGGGCACCTCCAGGCCGTGCCACGTGCCCTGTCCCCAGTGTCACCATCTCTGTCGTGTCCTCCTGTGTGGTTCCCACAGCCCCAGTCAATGCTGAGGGATGCCTGACACCGCCAGAGATGCCGTCGCCCCCCTTGGGACAGTGGGGACACCGCCAGTCCCCATGTACCATGTGTGTGCCCACTCCCAGGAGCCACCATGCCTTGTGGCACGAGAGTGGGGTGTGCACCCCATGGCTCCCACTGGGTAGGATGCAGTGGGCAGGATGTGGCCCTGGTGATGTTCAGGGGGATGGGAGCAGCGGGCACTGTGCTGTGCCCTGGGGGAGTGAGCGATGTCCCTTATTGGTCACAGTCCATTTGCTTTTCATTAGCGCTAAGTGCAGACATGAGGGATCGGTGTGGGTTCAGTGGGCACAGCCACCGTGCTGCTCCTTTTGCAGACAGATGGGGGAGGGAGGACTGGTGGCATGGTGGGGGGGGACAGCTGCAGGACATGGGGCCATTGGTGTCCCTGGAGGTGGCTGATCCTCCGTGTCCCCGTAGGCGCCCAGCAGAGTGTGACAGTGGCCAGCCCTGCATCAGGCGCTTCCCCTGATCTGCTGCCTCACTTCCTGCTGGAGCCCGACGATGTCTACATTGTGAAGAACAAGGCAGTGAGCCTGGCCTGCCGTGCCACCCCTGCCACACAGATCTACTTCAAGTGCAATGGGGAGTGGGTGCACCAAGGTGATCACATCACGCAGCGCAGCACTGACCGCAGCACTGGTGAGTGCTGGTAGCACAGCTTCCCCAGAGCAGCAGCACCTGTGGGTGTGGGGAGCGTCCTGCATCACTCTTGGGGTTGCAGATGGGTGGGGACCCAGGTGATATGCCCCATCCCATCCTAGGGCTGCCTGTGATGGAGGTGCGCATTGAGATCACCCGCCAGCAAGTGGAGAAGCTCTTTGGTCTGGAGGAGTACTGGTGCCAGTGTGTGGCATGGAGCTCCTCTGGCACCACCAAGAGCCAGAAGGCCTTTGTGCGCATTGCCTGTAAGTGCAGGGGCAGCCCCAGTGTGTCCTCGTGGAAGACAGGGCACAGGGCGCTGGAACCCCTGCCTGCTCACCTCTGACCTCCCCAGATCTGCGCAAGAACTTTGAACAGGAGCCAACAGCCAGGGAGGTGTCCCTCGAGCAGGGTGTTGTGCTGCCGTGCCGCCCTCCTGAGGGCATCCCTCCTGCTGAGGTGAGCTGAGGATGATGCGCCAGGGGTCTCCGCCTGCCCCTTTGTGCCAGGTGATATCCCTGTGCCCCACAGGTGGAGTGGCTGCGCAATGAGGAGCTGGTGGACCCGGCGCTGGACGCCAACGTCTTGGTGACGCCGGAGCACAGCCTGGTGCTGCGCCAAGCCCGCCTGGCCGACACTGCCAACTACACCTGCGTGGCCAAAAACATCGTGGCACGCCGCCGCAGCGCCTCCGCCGCCATCACCGTCTATGGTACGGCCCCGCTGCTCCCTCCTCATCATGCCACCACAGCATCTCCCGGTGTCCCCCAGCCAACGCGTTCCTCTTCCCACAGTGAATGGTGGCTGGTCGACGTGGACACAGTGGTCGGGCTGCAGCACCAGCTGCGGACGGGGCTGGCAGAAGCGCAGCCGGACTTGCACCAACCCCACGCCCCTCAACGGGGGAGCTTTCTGTGAGGGGCAAAATGTGCAGAAAAGCGCCTGCACCACCCTCTGCCCAGGTACCCCTGTGCCTGCCATGGGTGCATCCATCTCAGCCCTGGCACGGGGAAGGGGCACAGGGGATGCTGGCAGGGGCTGATGTCTGCTGTGCCCGCAGTGGATGGAGACTGGTCGGAGTGGAGCAAGTGGTCGGTGTGTGGGGCCGAGTGCACACACTGGCGGAGCCGCGAGTGCTCTGAGCCTGCACCCCGCAATGGAGGTCAGGAGTGCCACGGCCCCGAGCTGGAGACCCACAACTGCACCTCCGAGCTGTGCAGCCCCAGTGAGTGCCATGGGGAGGGCATAGGGGGGGCTCTCAGTGTGCTCGTGGAGTGCTGACGCTCTGCTCCACACAGCCGCCCCGGGTGCCGAGGACCTGGCGCTGTACGTGGGGCTGATTGCCGTGGCCGTGTGCCTGGTGCTGCTGCTGCTGGTGGGTGTGCTGGTGTACTGCCGCAAGAAAGGTGGCCTGGACGCCGATGTGGCGGACTCCTCCATCCTCACCACTGGTTTCCAACCTGTCAGCATCAAGCCCAGCAAGGCTGGTGAGTGAGGGCTGTGTGCTCAAGCTGCTGTTGGGACACTGTGTCCCCCAGTTCCTGGGGATCCTCTGGGCCCTGGATGGGGTTTCAGACCTCTGGACTCTGGGTAGGAGCTGTGCACTCCATCTGGCCCCTGGGAGTCCCCTGTGGGGACTGTAGTTAAAGGGCCAATGCTTTGTGTCCCCAGAGCTGTGGGGATGTGCTCTGTACCTTATAGAGTCCCTGGGAAGTGACCGAGTGCCCTCTGGGCACTGTGTTATAGAGTCAGTGCTTTGCATCCTAAAGGACCCTGGATGCAGGGCTCTGTACCCTATAGGGTCCCACCCAGATGGACCTTCAGAGGTGCCCATGTCCCACACAATGGCACCTAGCCCCACAGCCCTGCTCTGTGCCGCAGACAACCTGCTCACCATCCAGCCCGACCTCAGCACCACCACCATGACCTACCAGGGCTCGCTGTGCCCACGCCAGGACGGCCCTGCCAAGCTCCAGCTCCCCAACGGGCACCTGCTGAGCCCACTGGGCGCCGGGCGGCACACGCTGCACCACAGCTCACCTGCTGCCGAGGGAGCTGACTTCATGGCCCGGCTCTCCACCCAGAGCTATTTCCGCTCGCTGCCCCGCGGCACCACCAACATGGCCTACGGCACCTTCAACTTCCTGGGGGGGCGGCTCATGATCCCCAACACAGGTACGGCAGGCACTGGGGGGTCGTGGGGCGCCGGGAATGGGCTCAGCATCCCCGTCCCACAGGTGTCAGCTTGCTGATCCCTCCCGACGCCATCCCCCGGGGGAAGATCTACGAGGTGTACCTCACGCTGCACAAGCACGAGGAGGTGAGGTAGGTGCTGGGGCTGCCGAGTGATTGGGGTTACGGGGCTGCCCACCGCGCTGAGCCCAAACCCAGCGCTGTGCCCTTCCCCAGGCTTCCGGGGAGCTGATGAGACTGTAGGGCTGTCCACCACACCAAACCCATCCCAACCCTATGTCCCTCTGCCAGGCTGCCCCTGGCCGGCTGCCAGACGCTGCTGAGCCCTATCGTCAGCTGCGGCCCCCCCGGCGTGCTGCTCACCCGTCCCGCCATCCTGGCCATGGGGCACTGCGTGGAGGCGGGCGCTGAGCACTGGAGCCTGCGGCTGAAGAAGCAGTCGTGCGAGGGGACGTGGGAGGTGAGCGCCCACCGGGGCGGGGGTCCCCGCTAGGAGGGGGTCACATCCGTGCTCACACTGCGCGTCTCGGTGCCGCAGGACGTGCTGCAGCTGGGCGCCGAGCCGCGCACCGAGCTGTACTACTGCCAGCTGGAGGCACAGGCGTGCTACGTCTTCACGGAGCAGCTGGGCCGCTTCGCGCTGGTGGGCGAGTCGCTCAGCATGGCGGCCTCCAAGCGCCTCAAGCTGGTCCTCTTCGCGCCCACCGCCTGCCCCTCGCTTGAGTACAACATCCGTGTCTACTGCCTCAGTGACACGCAGGATGCGCTGAAGGTATTGCGGTGCGATGGGGGGTGTCTGCCTCCCCGCCCCGGGCCCTGCCCCACACTGTCTGTGCATACAGGAGGTGATGCAGCTGGAGAAGCAGATGGGAGGGCAGCTGATCGGGACCCCCCGTGTACTGCATTTCAAGGACAGCTACCACAACCTGCGGCTCTCCATCCACGACATGCCCAGCTCCCTCTGGAAGAGCAAGCTGCTTGCCAGTTACCAGGTAAGGAGAACGCAGCAAGGGGGCTCGCTGCGGTACCCAGAGCTGTGACCGCCAGCCACGTCCCGCTGCAGGAAATCCCCTTCTACCACATCTGGAGCGGGCTGCAGCCCTACCTGCACTGCACCTTCACCCTGGAGCGCCTCAGCCCCAGCACCTGCGAGCTGGCCTGCAAGATCTGGATCTGGCAGGTGGAGGGCGATGGGCAGAGCTTCACCATCAACTGCAACATCGCCAAGGTAAAAGCGTGGCAAGGGGAACACCCAGCACCCCCGGGCTGCACTCACTCTATGGCACTTCCCTTATAGGACACGAGGTTTTCGGACTGGTTGGTCCCTGACAGTGAGGTGGGTTCCCCGGCCCTGGTGGGTCCCAGTGCCTTCAAGATCCCCTTCCTCATCCGCCAGAAGATCATCAGCAGCCTGGACACGCCGTGCGCCCGTGGGGCCGACTGGAGGACACTGGCCCAGAAACTCAACCTTGACAGGTGGGATGGGTTCAGAGATGGGGAGGGGACATCTGCCCTCATCCTGCACTCTGATACCCATGAGAATGGGGCGGAGCTGACGGCGGGGCCATCCCCATCCCAGCACCCCAATGCCATCCTTCTGCCCCACAGCCATGTCAGCTTCTACGCCTCCAAGCCCAGCCCCACGGCCATGATCCTCAACCTGTGGGAGGCCCGACACTTCCCCAACGGCAACCTCTCACAGCTGGCCGCTGCCGTGGCCGAGGTGGGCAAGCAGGACAGTGCCCTCTTCGCCGTGTCTGAAGCCGAGTGCTGAGTTCCTGGGCTCTGTGGGGCAGGGTGGGGGCCCCGGCCGGCCCCTGGGCCCCACTGCTGCCCCACAGCCCCTGGCCTGTGCCCCCATGGCGCTGGGTGGCCGGGCCGGGTGCCGTGTGTGCGTGGTGCGTGCGGTGCCGTCGTGCTGTCTGCGCTTGGGGCTGGGCAGCCCCGGGCCCCGTGCCGTGTTGTGTAAAGACCGTTTTTTTAATTCTGTATTAAGTGCATTCAAGTATTTACACTTGGCCTTATGTACATAGCGGTGCCGCGGGGCGGGGGGGTCTGGCGGACGTGAATGTAAATAAATTCGATATATATTGCTACGCGGGGCTCCGTGCTGTGCCCCAGTCCCGTAACACCCATCCTGGGAACTCACAGGTGCAGAGCAAAGCGTTTTATTGTGGGGAGGAGGGGTCGGCCCCACGACATGCCACCGCCGCCACCAGTGCGGCCCCTTTCCCCGAGCCGTCCTCCGACTGCAGGAAGGTGACATTGCAGAGGGGCGCGAGTTCCTGCAGCATCTGCTGGAGGTTCTGGGAGAAGCTGTGGGGAATGACAGCAGCTGAGCGCCGTGGGGACTGCCCCACACCCCCCATAGAGCACGGGTACCGGTGGGCGGGCTCACCGTGGGTGCATCTTGTACAAAGTGCCGTCCACCCCCACGGTGACGGTGAGCTGCTCCAGGCCGCGGCTTTCCCGCATCTTCTCCACCACGGCGGCCATCCCCGCGGCACAGAGGTGTGCAGCGCGCAGAGACACGGTCTGGCACACCTCCCGCACCAGCACACTGTCCTCATAGCTGGCGTCCAGCTCCAGGTTTCTCAGGATGCCCTGCACCTGCACTAGGGCCAACCCAGGGCTGCCCCCACCCAGGGCAGCTATGAGCAGCGCTGTCACCGTCCTCAGGTGGCGTCCCCTCTTGGGGTGCTGCCTGGAGACTTGGGCTATGGGAATACGTGGGATTGCGGCACTTACGTCTCAATGGTAGAAAGGAACTTGGTCTGGAAGATGTCCCTGTTCTGCAGCTTTTGGGACGACTTGCCGCAGAATAGGACCTGCTCCTCCACCAGCGCCAGCAGGATCTGCCGCACGATCTCACCCAGGTACATGCCGCTGATGAGCTTCTCAAACCTGCCCCAGGCACAGCCCTGCTGCCTCGGTGCCCCCGGAACCCCATAGCACCCTGCCCACCCCACAGCCATCACCCACTTCTGCTTGCCCGCATTGATGCTTTTCTCATCCACCAGCCGGTCGAAGCTGGTGAAGAAGTCATCCAGACAGCCGTTGTCCCCAAAAGCGCCCCACTCCATGTTGATGCACATGCGACCCTCATCCCCATCGATGGTGCCCACCTTCGCCCTCTCTTCCATGTAGCAGGTGTTGGTCCCTGTCCCTGCAACCCAGCACCAGTGTCTCTCACCAGTCCCAGCCTGGCACCCACGGTATGGGGTGAGCAGTGGGGAACCCCAGGGGGGCAGAGGTGTTCCTCACCGACAATGAGGCCAATTTCACATTTGGGGTCATGGTAGCCACAGGCCATCATGGTCCCCACAGTGTCATTCACCACAGCCACCACCTTCAGCGCCGTGTGCTGCAAACAGGAGATGGGGACACGTGGCTCAGCAGCACTGATGGCTCTGCCTGGTGTCACCAGTGGAGTGCAGGGCAGCAACACCGGGCTCAGGGAACAGATCCCCCAGCCCTTTCCCACCTGTTTGCGCTGTGCAGCTTCCCGCAGCATCTGAACCACATCCTGCCCTACACAGCCAGAGGCACTGAAGCCTTTGGTCCAGTTCAGCAGCACAGCCTGTAGAGAGATGAGCAGGGCCGCCCCGTGGGCAGCATCCCACCCAAGGACCCTCCCCACGCCCCGAGGCCGGAGCTGCCCCCTCACCTTGTCCAGGCCCAGCTGCTGGCAGGGGAAGGAGAAGGTGAAGCCAAGTGGCAGGACCTGATCCATCAGCTCCTGCTTCATCTGGAAGTCCATGATGCACTCCATGATGTGGTTGAAGAGCTGTGGAGAGAGGCTGCAGTCAGAGTGGGGAGGATGCAGGGTGGGGGATCTCTCCCACCCGTTCTGGTGGCACAGAGGTAACTCCCATCCCTTGCCCTGTCCCAGCATGCTGCCCCACCGCCTCGCCGGTGCCCTGCATGATGGCCGTGGGGATGACATAGATCTCATTGATGATGTCAATGTTGTCCTCTGCCACGTGCACCACCAGCACACGGAAATTGGTCCCTCCCAGGTCCAGTGCCAGGAATTTTCCTCTCTCTGTGGGGAGCATATAGGGGAAGTAGGACAACAGAACCCCCAGCAGGATCTTTCCCTACTGTACCCCATCCCTCACCGGTGCCATCGGGTGTGTGGCACACATAGGTGGGCAGCATGCGGAGGGAGGACTCAGCGTTTCTCTCCCGGTCCAACCCACGCTCCATCTCCTGCCTCATCAGTGCCTGCACACGCTGCAGGTCGGCACGGCTGAGCCGCAGCGGGGCCAGCAGCCGCTCCACCTTGTTCCGCTGTGCCATCGTGCGCAGAGCCACCGCTGTCACCATGGCCGCCCCCAGCCCGCTGATATCGGCCGAGGGCATGAGGTTGGCCGCACATTCGGGGGCCAGCAGCCCCACCACGCTGCGCAGGATCTCACCAAACCTACAGGCAGGAAGAGGACGATGAGGCCAGGCATGAGGCATCGTGTGGCCAGGAGCCCGATGTCCCCTCACCTGGCGCTGGTGTGGTACAGCCCACCATCCACCCCCACGTTGACCACCAGCCGCTCCAGCTGCCGGCTGCGGCACATGTGGCTGAGCACGGCCGCCAGCCCCATGGCACTGAGCGCAGCAGCACGGCTCACCACCGCCCGGCACAGCTGCTGCACCCGACAGCAGTCCCGCTCGCTGGGCTGCAGCCCCAGAGCCTCCAGTATGCCCTGAGCCTTGGCCATGCCATCCTCGTTGCTGCAAAGGAGAGAAGCGTGCTGGCTCATGGAGCTGATTGCTTGGGGAGTTGGCACCCACCCGTGGCTCTGGGCACTCACTCCATGATCTCCAGGACCTGCTGGGTTTTCAGCACAGCTTTGGTCGCCAAGATGGAGGTGTTTCTCCCGATGAAGAGTGCTTGCTCGGAGGCCAGCATGAGCATGGCGTGCCGCACAATCTCCCCCAGGTACAGGCTGCCCACCATCTTTTCAAACCTGTGTGCGGCAGGGTGTCACCCCCCTCCCTGGGCACAGCCCTCAGCGCTTTGGGAGCAGCACAATGGCAGGGCACAACGCACCCATGGGGAGCCCCAGGACCCTTTTCTAGCGGCACACCTCCTCTCCCCAGGGTTGGAGGACTCCTGGTCCACACGGTGATCATAGGGGGTCAGCACGTCGTCCAGTGCACCGTCATCCCCCAGGCAGCCCCACTCACTGTTGACACACATCCGCCCGCTGGTCACCTCTGCCATGTCCAAGAGGTGTGACTCAGCCATGAAGCAGCAGTTGGTGCCCGAACCTGCAGGATCGAGGAGGGCTGAGCATCACCACGGCCCCCAGCCCCATCACATCCCCCAGCCCCACTGCTCACCCACAACCAAGGCGATCTCACAAGGTTTCTCTCGTGTGCTGCACGTCATCATGGTGCCCACCGTGTCGTTCAGCAGGGCCACCACATCCACATGGCAGAGCTGCCCAGGAACGTGGCACCATCAGCTCCTCTGTGTGGGGCAGCCCACCCAGCCGGGACCCCCACCCAGCGCCCACCTCCTGCTTGCTGATGGCCGCCTGCAGCAGCTGCACCACATCCTTCCCCTCCACGTCGCTGCATCGGAAGCCCTTGGACCAGGAGATGAGTTCTGCCTGCAGAGAGCACATGGACGAGGTGTCGTCCCTCAGCACAGCGGGGAGCAGAGGCGGCCTCAGCACGGGGCGGGGCTCACCTTATCCAGTCCCGTCTGCCTGCAGCTGAACGGGAAGATGAAGCCCAGGGGCAGGCGGTGCTGGGGGTTGCCGATTTCCTCCAGGAAATTCTTCACGCATTGCGCGATGAAGTCAAAGAGCTGTGAAGGCACGGCACGGGTGGGCAGCTGCTCCCCTACCTCGAGAGCCCCCAGCGCAGTGCCCGCCGCCCGTACCGCTTCCCCGGAGCCCTGCGTAATGTCCTCCGGCATCTCAAAGACGTGGTACATCAACTGTGGGCTCTGGTTTCCATCGCCCGTGAGGGTAACCCAGAGGGTGCGGACATGGTTCTGGCACAGCTCCGCCACCAGCACGTCGCCGTTCTCTACAGATAGGCAGGATCAGGCAGACCCCGGCTCCCAGCACCACAGCCGCTCCCTGTCCCATCCCGGTCACATCTGCCCGTGGTGGGGCAGCAGTTCCCAGCAGGGCCAGAGGGAAGGGCTCCCGGCCTCACGGGAGCAGCTCCCGGCCCCGTGAGCAGCACGATCCGTTCCCACTGCACCCATCCCCGGCACCGCATCCAGCAGAGCCGCCTCACCGGTGCCATCGGGTGTGGAGCAGATGAAGGTGGGCAGCATCTTCATGGTGGAACGAGCCCCGCTCTGCTGGCTCAGCCCCTGCTCCAGGGCCTCCAGCACGCGGCCCTTCATCTCCTGCAGCTTCTCCAGCGTCGGGGTGAGCGCCAGCAGCACCCGCTGCACCTGGGGACGGCTCGTTAGGGCTGCGGACACTTCTCCGTGCACGCGGGGCAGGGACGGAGCTTACCGGCGTGCAGGAGGGGCCCATGTCCTGAGCTCCCAGCTGGAGGCTCCCCGGGGGCCTGCACGGAGGGAGCAATGGCAGCGCTGAGCCCCGGCTGAGACCCCGCACCGGGGCTGGGCGCCCTCACCCCGGCTTGTGCCTCCCCACCTCCCCTCCGCATCCCAGCTGCACGTATCCACAGCACTGAGGCTTTGCGGTGTCCCGCGGTCGCTGTCCCGACCCGGCAGCCGGGGGTAGAGGGCACAGCTGTGCCCCACGATAGCGAAGGGGCCGTCGTTGGGGCCGAGCGCCGAAGGGTGCAGCTCCCACATCACCGTGCCCACGCACCTGCAAGAGGCCGGAGGGTGGTCCGTCCCCGGGGAGGGGACGTTCAAACCATGGGGGGGGGGGGGGGGGGGGGGGGCACACACAAAAGGAGGGACCCCGCTCGCTCCCCGTCGCCCACCCCACGGCCCCTCACCGATTCAGGGCGGGCACGGGGGGCAGCCGGCCCCTCCGCTCGGGGCCCGCACCCCGCCACTGGAAGGCGATGGTGCTGCGGGCGGGGACACCGCGGTCCCGGGGGCCGGGCATGGCGGGGTGTCCGGTGTTGCTGATGGAGCCGGATGGGGGGAGGGCGGTTGCTAACGCCGCTCGCCGTTGCCTCGGCAACAGATGCAGCGCTCGCGGCCCCCCCCGCACGCCATTGGGCGGCCCGCACCGCCCCCGGCCAATGCGGGCTCACCGCCCCGCGAGCGGAACGGAGACGGCGGGGATGCGGGGCAGGCGGTGACACGCGGTGCGAGCTGCGGGCCGGCAGCGGGCGGATCCCCCAACCCCCTCCTGCCCCTCCCCGTTCTCCGGAGAAAACCGGCACCGCTCCTCCGTCTCTCGCCGCAGTTTCATAAAAACATACATAAATATATTTCCATTTCTCGACCGGAGAGCACAGCGGCACAGGCACCTATAAAACACGCAGTCCCTCCTCCCCGGCGCTCCTGCGCCGATCGTACAAAACGTAGAAAAGAGGGGAGGAGGGCCGAGCTCAGAACTTGCGCTTCCTGCGGCGGCCGGCACGGGCAGGAGGGGGGGGCGGCGGGCTGCCCGGCGGGGGGACGGCAGAAGGGGGGGGCAGGAGGGAGCACGCGCTGTGCTCGGCATTCTCCTCATCCTCGTGCGGCAGCGCGGTGGGGTTCCGTTGGTCGCCTATTCCAGGGATGTGGGTCCCCGTGTCGGCACCTGCAATAGGAGCGTCCATCAGCCTTGGGGCAGCACCGCGACCTTCCCAAAGCCGGGCGTGCTGGGGAGCCCTGGGGGCACTCTGGGTACTGCCACGTGTCCTGCAGGGACGTGGAACGGACCCTCAGCCCCCAAAGGCCCAGCTTCAGCAGCATTCCAGACCTCAGAGCCACCCACCCCCAAAGGGAGAGAGAGAGAGAGAGAGAGAAGGGACGTTCTGCAGCCCTGAGCCAGCTGGCAGGCACAGAAAGCAGCTTCCCACCTGCAGACTTGCTCTCCGAGAGCTCCAGCACGCTGAGGAGTCCCCTCTTGTGCCTTGCCACAACCTGTCAAGAGAAAAGAGAACACTGTCACAGCACTGCTGTGAGGGGCCCATCCACTCTGGGTGCCCATGCAGCACAGACAACGGGGCAGCCCTGCCACAAGGCAGGTGTTGGGTAACAGCAGAGCCCTGTGAAAGAGCAGAGCCACAGCCAGACGAGGAGTACACAGAAGGGCACTCCTAAGTGCTCCTAAGGGCACGCTGCCTGTCTGCATTCAGCCCTGCTGGCCCAGCAAAGTCCCCTGTCCTGACTGCTCCCTGCCCCAGAGGGCACTGACATCCTCACTGCTGGGCTGGAGCTGCTGAGCATCCCAGAATGGGCTGTGGCAGGAATCTGCAAGCCCAGTTCTGCCACCAGGAAGCTCTCCCATAGTGCGACCTGTTTCCCAGTGAACTCCCATCTCAGCACAAGGCAGAGTCACAAGGAACCCAGAGCCTTGCCAAGCTGCCTCCAGGGGCCTCTGGAACTGGCACCATCCCCAGTGGCCACGGGCAGGAGCTCCAGGTGGCCATGGGGCACAGGGATGGAGTCAAACAGCTCCCAGAGCCGGTCACATGTAGGGGCAGCCATGCCCTAACAGTTCTCTGAGCCACACAGAGCTTGACTGTATCCCAGCCAAAATCATCAACCAGAAATCTCATCATTTGCATCTGAATCCCCAAAGGGCTGAGGCCTGTGATGGATTTAAGGGATTATATGAAACTAAGACATCATGTTGCATCTTCATGCTGAGAATCACATTTCTGAGTGCAGGCAAAGCTGCTATGTGAGGGATTTGCCGGCAGGAACCAGTGGGAAGTCTGCAAGGACCCTCCCTGCGGGCTGCCACCAGCAGGAGCAGGCACAGTGGGGACCAACACCTGGAGAGGGACTGCATGCCAGCTGCTGCCTGCAGGGCTCCTGCCCCACCCCCAGCACGCCTCCCTGCAGCTCTCCTGAGATGCTCCAGACACCAAGTGGCTCTTCCCACTTTGTCTCCAAAGCCTTCCCCATGGAAGGGGCTCGCGGACAGTCAGATACGGCTGTCACTCTGACATTACCCTCCACGGTGTCTCTATTCAGCCGAGGAAGGCTGCAGGACTGAGGCTGCTGGCAGTGGGGCTGGCTGGCTGGCTGCCTGCCTGCTGGAGAGCTTGCTGGCAGCTCCGCTGGATTAGCTCACCCCTGGGACCAGGGACACAGCTCCTGCTGGCAACCCAGCCCCAAACCCAGTGCAAAGCAAAGGAGATAATCTGCAGGGTCGCCCCTCACCTTGGTGCTTCGCAGCCTCCTGGTTCCCTGAGCTTGCCTAGCAGCCTGGAGGCAGTTGTCCACGTGCCTCTGATATTGCAGCAGTGGCACCAGTGACTTACAGAGGTAGCACTTCTCACACCTGCCAGGCAGGAAAGGACAGAGCACCGCATTAGGATTCACCCTGTGCTGGGCTCCCAGCCACCAGCAGTGACTTTCCTCCTCTGGACCGCGGCACTGAGAAGATGTGTCACCAGATCGGGGCTGGCTCAGTGGGGTCAGGCCGGCACCAATCACAAAGACTGAGTGATTATCGGTTTTCCCTGCCTGCTCCTCTGCATCCTGCTGCTGCAGCAGCGGGACGGTAATCAAATCTGCTCATCTAACTATCTCCAACACTGCTGATTTCTCCCCAGACATAAAGCACCCTGTCAAAATCCACAGAAATGAAGTGCAAGGGCTTTGCAAAAGGGAGTTAAATTCTGCCTGAAAAGCAAACCAAGTGTGTTAAATCAGAGAGACATGTTACCAGGGCTGGATGAACTTGTCTGACTAGTAAATCAAGTCCTTCTCTGCACTGTCTCCATTTTCCAACATGCCATAGCACACTCTCCTGCTGCAGGTTGGCACAGGTGCCCTCTCTCTTGCATCGTGCTCCTCAAACCCCCTCATTTGTGCAGAAGATGCCCAGGCTCAGGAAAACCAAATGTGCCTAGGAAGAAAATCAGCCTGGGTGAAAGGAGAGATGGAGGTCAGGCTTGGATTTACACAGCTACAACCACTTCCACGCCAGCTCTCAAGAGGGGACCATGCCATGCATAAGAGGACACTGGTTCTTCAGGAGAGCACCCACCTGCGGTGCTGCTCAGGAATGGACCAGGAGCCCCCAAGGAGCAGCCCCAGCAGCATCGTGTTCAGTTTGATAAGCAGCTCTCTCCCAGTAAAACTCACTCCAGGCTCCAAAATGCATATGGAGAGCCCCCATCGAGCAAAACTCTGCAGTACTTTTCCCATATTTTCTTTCCAGTCAGTGCTGATTACCCAGATAATGTGTCTAAACAGAAGCTGTCCTCTCTATAATTAGCCTAATTCCATTAGTGATGTTGCCATCCACTGTTTGTAACAGCAAAATTGCTTCCATAGCAGGGATTTTACTGTCAGATCCTCTCTTATGATGCTTTGTGTGGGTGGCAGGAGGAGGGGCTGCATGGGAAGAGATTAAACAAAGCCACTGCTATTCTGAAAGTCTAATTTAATTAAGAATATCACTACAGGTGCCATGTTGACAGCCTCCCCGGCCCGGCCCGGCCTCCTCTTTTCTCAGGGTTACTGAGCTCCAATCCCCCATAAGAAACCAGCTGAGTTAGCAGCATTTTAACTACAGCTCCCCCACAGCAGTCAGAGACCACGCACCCTGACCCACCATGCAGTGGCTGGAAGGAAATTATTGCAAAAATAAACAATCTGAGAACAGCAAATTTCTTTTGTTTTGATATAAACATATATAGCACTGCGACAAGAAGCACTGAGTAAAGGCAGTTTCTTAGGGAGATAACACTACAAGGCCAACAGCCAGCATTTACATGGGGACAAAGACATTTCTGCAGGGGCAAGGCGGAACTGGGGCACAGAAGCAATGTTGGAGGAGCAGCATACCTACTTACTTGTCAGAACCTGAGGACGTCTGGCTGCTTTCACCACCTGCAGCTTTACTTCGTGACTCTCTCCGGCCCCGAGTGAGCACTGGAAGCAAAACAGAAATGGTTACTGCCATCCATTCCCAGCCACCCTGCAGGATGTCCAAACACAGCACCTTTCAATCTCTTTTACTCAGTGCTGCAGTTGAGTGATGCAAAGCGAGACAACTACCGGACTGGGATGGGCAGGGTCTTCCTTCCAGTCAAGGGGCAGCTGAACAGTTTTCACAGGGACATGTAAGAAGTTACCTTTCAGGCCTTGAAAGACAGCACGCCGTGTCACACTCCAACCTGTCCTCTGATAGAAACTGCTGAACCAACAATACACAGTTCACAGTCATTTTAAAGTTGACACACAGCAGCACAACAGCCTAGGAGAAGAGATGCACCGCTGCTCCAGCATGGCTGCACTGCTCACTGCCAAGGCAAACCCCCTGCCTGCTGCAGGGAGTGTGGGGGCACCAGCCTGCAGGTTGGGTAGGAGGAGGAAGTCTTGCTTGGAAGGGAAGGTTACAACATTCAGCCCTGCAGGCCATCAGGCCCCCTTTCCCATGCAAAACAGAGGAGATCTTTACTACTGCCTGCACACAGCTCCGGATGAAGAGTCGCACTGGCACTGCTCTCCAATGGCTGCAGGGAAGAACCAGAGAATCACAGAATGCCCCAAGTTGGAAGGGACCCCGAAGGATATGCGGGTGGCCACAGAGAGCCCAGCCCCACCAGCATGCTGACAGCAGGTCTGACAGTTTCTGCTCCTTTCACACGCCCGAGCAGCCCTTCCAAACCTGCTCTCCGGGCATCTGCAGGGAGCACGTCTAAATGTTGTCTCTTTCAGCTGACTTCCTCTCAGCATATCTCTGTTGACACACCACCAGCAAAGATCCTTAGGGAGCACATCAGATAGCTTAGCTTGCTCCACCAGGGACATCTGAGACTCCAGCTCCACAGCAGCTGTCGTGGGACACAGGAGCAACACGTGGAGCTGTTGCACCGCCCAGAAAAATCACCTGCCATACTGTGTGCAATCGGAGAAGCCAGAGTCCAAGCTACAGGCAAGGCAAAACTGTGATTGTTGGCTCATCAGCTGTGATAAAGATGGGAAGGCACAAAATTTTGTACAGCACAAAGGGAATCCTTCAGAATTTTAGCAAAATTTCCTTTCCAGAGCATTCCTGGGCTGCGGGCATTGTCTCATGGGCGACGGCTGATTCCAGCAGCTCATTTCTCACAGGCGGACGTCTCATTGACTTGGCCTGGCCCAGATTCGAAGTGGCAGCCTGATGAGGAGGACTGATGGGCACAGCTAGCCCCCAGCCACCCAGCTTGCCTGCAGCCCCACTGACATGCATTTGACAGCGTGCTGAAAGCTGCTCTCTGAAGCAGCGTGCACTTGTTAATATTCCTTTAGCACCGTTTCGGGAGCCTCGTGCACTAGCTCAGGTGTTAATCAGTTCTATTTTCTTTCAAAAGCAGTGAACACATCTGGCATAATGGGCCCATTAGAGATCTCTGGGACCAGCTTGCAGATGCCCGGGGTGGACCCCCAGCTGCGATGCTGACAGCACAAGTGTGGGGCAGAGAATGGGGACAGCGGTGCCAGCAGGGCTGGCCCCCACTGTTTGCATCCTTGGGAGTGCTGGTGAGGACAGCCTGCCAACACACACCAGCCCCCTTCCCTTACTCTCCCTACCAGCCACAGTGCTTTACGTGCAGGACCCAGCAGTGGCAGGATTGCCAGCATCTTGTCTTTAAGAAGAGGTGAAGCTTTTCTCTGCATCCATTCCATTGCTCTTTGTATCAGTGCCACTTTATTAATGTCATGAGGTTTTTGACTGCACCAGCACTGCTGCTGCTGTTGCTCTGAAGATTGACAGCTGCACCAGGTTGTACTGGGGCTTGGGGAAGCAGGAATATACCAAATCCTCATTTTCCCAGGCTCACGTGGGAAAGGTGCATCAGTGGAGGACGATGGGAACAGTGTGTTTGATGCGCTCAGTACCAGCCAAGGCTCACATCCAGAGGGAAACCAGCAGCTTCATGCAGGGCAGCAGCAGGCAACGGCTCGGCAGCTCCGCGGAGATCCTCTCACACATGTAAGCCCTTCAGCTGGCTGCAGGAAGGAGGAAGGAGCTGGAACAACACTTCCACCGCTTCACTCATTCACTTGGAATTAGCAGCAGTCACTGAGCTGGAAACCTGGGATGTGAGCCTTCCTCGGCCTAATGCCACAGCTAAAGCAACAGCAGGCCCTTCCTTTTATGACCACAAGAAAATGGAAACTCATGATGAGATTTTCAGACTGCCCAGGTGTGTGGTGGTCTGGGCACCCAGCCAGGGCAACCACGGACATCTGTAAGAGAAGGAACCATAGCCCCTCTTGCCCAGCTACCTCATTGGAAAGCCTCTCCTTAAATACCAGCAGCCTGAGCTGGCCTCCTTATACAAAACACTGAAAGATTTTCTTCCCCCCCGTGCATTACCTTTACCATTGAATGTTATCTTAGCGAAAGGTGCCGGCTGGAAGCTGTCCTTTTGTCCCTGCACAGATGCATCAAGCTACTGTCTCACCTCTGCTGAGCTAAAATCCTATGAGTTCATCCCAAATCCTGCTGATCAGTCCATCAAATGGAACCTTTCTGTGGGATGTCTGTCCCTGTCTACTCACTGGGAACTGCAGTGAGGTGCCCTACAAGCCAAAGGCATCATCGTACCTCTCCTCCATGTTGTTTTCTTCTCCAGGCTCAAGTGCACAGCTCAGAGCACAGGGAATCACATGAAGAGCCTTGGCCCGAACAACCCAAGCATTATGGCTAGTAAATTTGGTCTGTACAGTGAAAATATTAGAATAACTGGCAATGGAAAACCCAAATTCCTGTGATTTTGTCCCAGAACCATTGCTCAGCTTAGAGCCATTATTGTAGACCAAGATCTCCATTATTTGAGGCTAGTTTTCTTTCAGGGGGAATTGTTCTGAACAAGGCAGAATAGCAGCAGAGCAATTCCAAAATAGCCACCCTTACAATCATCCCCAGGGAGATCAGTCTGGAGGCGGAGTGGAAAGGCCAGCCTTGAACTCTGCCCTGCTGAAATCCAACACCAAAGGAATGAACAAATTCTCTTGCACAGGCAAGAAGTTCTAAGCCTTCTCCTGATCACAGCCAGGATCCCAGGATCAATGGATACGCTCACAATCCAGGCACACTTGGGACCAGCTTACCATGGGGCCAAAGATGCTTCTGCTGAAAGGCATACTGAAAACTCTGCTCCGTTTTGTAGTGCAGATAAGACCTTTATCAGGACGGGAGACAAACTGTGACAATTCACGATTTGCCCCTTTGCTTTAGGAGCTGGTTTGTGCCTGTGGAGAAAACTCCCCACTAGGATTCAGCATGCACAGTATCAGCTGCTACTCTGGCTCATGTTATCTTAAAAGGACCCATGTCACATCCCCAGTGATTCTGTATAACAGGGACCACATATTTTAAAGCTACATCAATTCTGCATTAAGATTACAGGGTGAACCTTCTTCCTGCTAGAGGAATGTACATGTTACAGTTCTTGTATCAGCTCTGATTTGCTCAAATTGCTCAAACATCACAGATTTAGGCTGTATTTAATAACCCAGCATGTAACTGAAAATTATATATTCACAACCTGAAAAGTTAATCTTATTACAAGCTACCACTTTGATATTACCTGACATTGTGCTAACACAGACTTTACATTTCAAGCAGCAGCTAAAACATAACTTATTGAATACATTGATAACCAAGTGGTGTATTTGTTCAGTTAAGCTCTACAAAGGTTGGCTATGGAAACCTGACACAGAGAAGGTTGCAAAGAGGATTTAATACGGGCATTCTGACCACACTTCTCTGCCTCACTTTTCACATGAAGGAGAAAAAACTGAGCTCCCAAATCAATAGCTATCATTTTGCAATTTTGGAGGAACAAGAGGAAAACTTTCCTGCAATGCCTTCCTGCTGAACAAGCCATTTTTGCACACGCAAATGTCAGACTCATTGCACAGCAGAGGCTGTACTTGGAGCATTACAGAACATTCTCATTTCTTGAGAGCCCTGAAGGATGCTCACCCGAATGGCTCTGGAGGTGCCATTTTCTACCACTGTCAAATTCTGTGCAGCTCCTCTCACAATACGAAATAGATGTGTCTTGGGAGTACTCTGTGAAGTAGCCAGGGCTACATTCTTGTGCAATAATCAGCTTATAGATCTTCCAAAGGACTAACAATGTGGTCAGTTATGAAAGACATCAGAGAGATCTCTGTGAGGAAGGCTCTAGAAACCTCCAGAGTCTCCAATAACGTTCTCCTGACCAGCCCAGAGATGAACCAAGGCAGGGCAGACAAACCTAACTTGCCACATCACACACAAATACCCTGAGAGGAACAGGACTCCAGCACCTATCTGCAAGCAGCAGGAAAGGGGGGACCAGCACAGAGAGCAGATGCACAGACACAGCACATGGCAGACCTGGGCTGTCCGTGGCAGCATCCTCTCCCACGATGCCATTGCAGTACATGGCGTGCAGCTCGATCTCCGCAGCAGGGAAGCCTCGGTCACACAGTGGGCATGGAACGTGGTCAGCAGCCGTGTCACTGCCCTCAGATACAGCACTGCCATCTCCACCAGCCTACAGAAGTAGAGGGAAAAGAGACAGCTGTGTTTCTCTTTTTTTTTTTTTTTTTTTTTTTTTTGTAACTGCAGAGGAGCTGCTCATCTTCCCATAAACTCATTTTTTCTTGGAAAGTTTTATTTTCTCTTCTTCATATACAGGTCAGAAATAAGACCACTGCCCGAGTAAACTGCAGGGCTCTAATACCTAATTCTTCTTTCAAAGGCAGTGTGTCCTGCTGAATCACAGTGACACCTCCCTGCACAGCCATGCACACCACTTAAGGCAAACATCACCTACACTACTGCTGAAAAATAGCAAGGCTTCCATTAATCAGGAAAGCTCAGAAGCGAAACTGATGGGAAATTCATGGGGCAAAGCAGGAGTTCAACACCTGACTTGCGCTCATCAGTTCCTGGACATGATCCACACTACAGAGGCTGCGCTGTCTGGGAACACTCCTCTGGGATGAAAGGAAGCTCAGATCCTGGGGTGCTCCTCCACCTCCTCCAGAGGACACTGCTGGAGCAGTCGGAAGGAACACAGAGCATGGAGAGAGGCAGCCCATGTCACACAACACTGTCAACAATGGCATTTTGCCAGGGCAAAATGTCACCACTCGTGTTTGTTCGCTGGGTGCCACTCTCACTTACCAGCACTGTCTTTTTGCATTGGTTACACAGCTGTAAAGGTGCTCTGCTACACACCCACTGAGACACAGACTGCTCCCTACGCTGTGCATGTATCCAAGACACAGCAGACTGCTGCCATATCACTCACAATTAGATCTCTGCCTAGTCAGGCTTGCTACAAAATCTCTTCCTATTTAAGAAAGAGCCATTTTTCCCCCCATTAAAATAAATATTTCAATATTAACCATGTAGAAGAAACCTGAAGGGAAATAATAAAGGAGAGCTTGTTGTTCTTGGGGCTAAGCAGAGACATGCAGCCACTATGCAGTAAAACTGCTGCCTGCATCCCTTCAGCGGTGTAATTTCAGGGAAGCAGTAACCAGAGCCAGCCAAGACGCTCGGTGCTGCTGGAGCACGTTGTCACACGTAACACTGCTCTGCCAAACAAGGGTCTGATCCTGAGCATCCATTCTCATTTTTATGTCCCAAAGGGAAGGACAGGGCTTTGTTGACTCAGAGGAGCAGTGCAAGAAATAGCATGATGGGGTCTTACACTGAGAATCAAGTCAGAAAACTCATTTCTCCCCAGCGCTGTCTGACAGGCAATGGGACTGACCCCAAAAACCACGCACTCATTTCCAGGGAGACTCAGCACCAGATTTCTACGGAGGAGTTGCCACCAGAATCCCTCCAGCCAAACGCAAGCTGTTGCAGCGCATCACTCGCAGCATTAGCGTTTGTACCCTGCTCTCACTTCTCAGTGTCACTACATCCTGTGAAGTCCTCACCGCGGCGCGTTACAAAGAGGAGTCATAAAAAGCAGGATGTGTCAACTATGAATGATCAGATCAAACCTGCGTTATTCTGGTCTGACAACGCAGCAAAAAAGTGATGGGAAAAGCAGCAGACGCTGCTCCTGCTAGCTGCCATTTTTAAATCAGTCTGAGGAGATCACTGATTCCACACACCCTGCCCACCTACGTTCAGTGGTAAATCACTAATTTTAAATGGAAATGCAACGTTCTGTAACACAAGACACCAGAGTCCCAAATCCGCGTGTACAAAACCTTGCGGTGACAGCCTGGAAAACCTCTACTGCAGAGCCCTGTTGGAGGCACAGACTGCTGCCTCTCCTCTTTAGCAGAGAAAATTGCCCATAGGATACAGTGCTTGCAGCCAGCAGCCAGCAACCAGCCAAGAGCGATGCTGGAGGCTGAGCTCAGGAACAAGGCTCCTGTGCCCTGGCTCAGCAGCTGTGACGAAGAGCTCTGTCCCCACGGTCCATGCTTGCTTCACGCTAACTGCTGATCCATGTGATGGCTGCTTCCCTGCAAGGCTGCAGGCCCAGGGCTGGTACCCGCTGCCAACGACCACGCTGTGACAATCCCTGGGAAGCACCGTGCTGCTCGCCTCGTGCCCAGCAGCTGTCCAGGTGAAGGTGTAAGACCCAGGGGCCACGCTCTGCAAAGCAGCAGGGACAGGTTAATGCCCTGTCGCAGCCAAATGGTCACAACTGTGCCCTGGAGGCTGAGGATCCAGGGCTGTGCACAGGAGCGCTGCAGTCTCTAATTGACTGAGCAGCGCTCTGAGATACCTGAAGAATGAAAGGCACACGAGAGCAGAACCTGGTTTATTAAGAGGCCTGTGACAATGAGACACGGGAGCTGCAGATGCACTGTACAAGCTGCAGGTTTCCAGAGTGAGCTTTCCACAAATGAATCCTCTTGTCAAGAGCTGTATGATTCTGTATTCATGTACCCTGCCAGAGGAGTACTTGGCAACCCCTTTGATATCGCTCTCTAAATTAATAGACAAACGGAGTTTTATCAAAAGCAGGAACTGAAGTCAGATGTCGCTACAGTGACAGCTGCAAGGCAATTGCTGCACAGGTGTGACAACACAGGGAAAGCAGCCACACAACAGTGCACATCTGGATTGGGAGGTAAGAGAATGGCCCTGCCGCTGGCTTACTGCTGCTGGGAGCTATCACTGCATATAAATCAGGATTCTGGGGCTCAGCTCATTCTCACTGGACTGTAAACCACCAGCAGCCCTCAACACCTCTTTGTTGTCTTTATCCCAACCTCTTGGAGAGAGTCTTTAGATGACATTGTCATACACAGGACTGTAACAGGGTAAAATGTGTCATAATATATGTGGCTGAGATTTACTGGGACCCCTCTCACAGCTCCTGGGGTCCCTCTGCAATCCTGACCCCTACAGCACGACTCTTCCAACCCTGGACAAGCAACAGTGCTGCTGTTCCCAGTGACAATGTCCTTCAGCACAGCAGTTTGTGCAGCATACAAGAACAAACTGGAATTTATAACAACTCTCCAGCTACAAGGCTGAAAGGCTCCAGACGCAGCTGCACACAGCCCCTAGCCAAAGGGATCGGAACTATGAAGCAGCAGAGGAAGTGAGAAGTGTTTACAAGGATGCCACCCAAGCCCATGCACCCAGCTCCCAGGGGGAAGTGCTAGCACAGCCCAGCTGAAGAAAGCAGCATTGGAAACAGGATGCTTCCCCAGCTCCAGGCTCTTTACCTGCATGGGTGCATCTTTGCTGACCGAGGGAAGCTCTTCTCTCTCTGGCTCAATGCCTTCTGATGGACTCGGCTGGGTCTCTGCAGAAAGACAGCTCCATGTCAGCACAGGTTTGCGGCCCCCAGACCTTCTTCTCATTTGTTGTTGCAACTTAGGCATTTCACAGCTTCAAACCATTTTTCAGACTTCTCACAAATGTTATCAGACAATGTGCAACAACACAGTTGGATGAGGGGTTAAGAGTCACAGCACAATGGTGTGAGGACAAAGCCACTGCAGCTTTGCAGCTTCATGGGGAGTGAGACCAGACACAGGGAAAGCACGTGGGATGCTTGCTGGGATAGAGACAATGCAAGAACAGTACACTGCTCTATCTGAGAAGCAAGGCAAACAGAGCTCCCATCCTGTGGTCTTCAGACCTCCATGTTTTCCTTAGCAACAAAACATGCCTCCAAGCACCGCTGCTATGACCTCCACACAGCTGCTCATCAAAAGGAGCAGACTCTTTACAAGCTCCTTCCCCTAAAACTCTGAACTGGAAAATCTCAAACATGATAGGAGAGCTCAAGGAAGGAAAAAAAGATTTGGCCCCAAACAGGTTTAACTAATTCATGACAAATATTATTTCAACTGTCATGCTTTACATATATTGACAGTGAAAAACATGACAATTTATTGATAGCTTTGCAGAGAGCACACCTGGCACTTGGGAATCTCTTGTGCGTCTCCAGCAGCCAGCACCTAGCCACCCCTGTGCACAGAACTGGGATGCTGTCTTAGTGGAAAAGGGTCCAAAACCAGGGGATCATCCAAACTTACCTGGATAATTCCAGCCTGGATAAACACTGCTGGAAAGGAAATTTTATTTGATTCGAACAACTTTAATGTTCTCCCTTTTTCTCTGAATTTTGTAAATGTAAAATTTTCAGTTCAAAACTCAGAACATTCCCAGGTGCTTCTTACCTGGGCAAACAGAGATCTCTTCTTCTGCAGAGTTTTCCCTGGCAATGTCTGGGCTCCTCTTACTGCCAAGCGGGGTCAACATGCAGATGCTGTTCAAAACATAAATGTAATATAAATCTCCAATCCATCAGCGTGACAGCACACACCTGCCTGCCTTGCACAGCTCAGACAGCTCTGTCATTTCCAGGTGGTCATTATTTGATAGCCAGAAATGATCAGGGTAACAGAGAAGAATATTGGTGTGAAATACTGTTCTAAACAAACCACTAGAAGAACTTTTTTGACTTAGAGAGGTCCTTGATAAGAAGACATAAAAGATCAACACCTCATATGGGGGGAATGAGAATACCTGCTCACAGCTGTGGGACCTTCCTGACTCTTTCTGCTCTTAGCTCTGGGAGCTGTGCAGGTATTAGCACTGTGCTATCTGCCCTCTGAGGAAGGGAATTCTTAGGGGGAAAGGCACAGAGACGCAGCACAACACTGGGCTTTCCTACAGCAAAGCTGCACCAGCATGGCAGTTCCCTGCAGCATGCTGTCCCTCTCCCTTTAACCTTCTCCATTGTTTTTTTTTCCCACCAGCACAACACAGTGTCTTTCTGGAGCAGGCAGGCATTGCTGAGCGAGTCTGGCACCCATGCTGACACTCTCAGCATTTTGTATGGCTTCCTGATTAGTCTGATCAAGTATGCAAGAGCACACTTTAAAAACATGAATCCCCATCCTGACAAACAGAAGATTTATTAAGCTCAACCACGGGCCTCAGAGAGGAGAGAACAGCCACTGCTGATTTATGATAAATAACAAAATTCTGATAGGAAATCACAAGTGGCTTTTCTCTCTAAATAAAGCATCTCAGAGCATTTGTTATGAATCCAGGCTGAGCGTGTTTTACTCTGTGTCTAACATCAGGGCTCACTTCAAAAGGACTCACACAACACAACTTGCTATGACATTTATGAAATGGGCTAATCAATTTGAAGTCAAACCACATTTCTTGCTACACCAACTATCTCCCAGTAACAAAGCCTATAATCATTTATTAAAACCCCAATCTACCGTGCTATGCACACAGCACAGAACAATCAAGCCAAGTGGCCTACAGGAAGCAGAGGGTTTCCTACTCTGAAGATTGATACCAACTATTTGGGCCAATTCTGCCAGATCTAAGGAAAGATGACCGTTCTGAAATTATAAAACCCAGCAAATAAAAGAAACATAAGACTATCCACCCTCTCTTGCAAATTACTCCTTGTATCTTCTCCCATTCGACCTTCCTCTCTCACAGCCTTCGCTGCTGAGCTGCATCCCATAAGAAGGAAAGGAAAAAAAAAAAAAGGCTAGACTTAAATGTGAGGAAAATCATGTTGACTTGTCCCACACCTGTCATCTGCTGAAGTGGCTTTTCTGGAGCACTGCACTCTATCTTTGGCTGATAGGCAGTGCCGTCTGGCTTCCTCCTCCCTGCTTTCCTCTTCAGCAGTACAGCAAGAATATAAAAATACACACAGAAATCCAGTAAACCGTTCACTGTGCTGCATATGTGCCTTCAGACAGCCCACGTGACTGCACTGCTCTAACTCACCTTTAGCTCATCTACCCGTCTCTCCAGCTTTACTGTACCATGTCAAATTAGCTGCAGAGGGTAAGGATCAAGTCCTCTTACTTGTACAGTAAGATCTCGCTTGTACAAGGATGCACTTGCACGTTTTATACAGTAACAACAGTAAGTGATCTCTTCTCCCCAGCTGTGCCTTTCCTCTCTCACACAGTGCTCCAGAGCCATGTAGTTGCAGGGATGTAAAAGCAGCAGCTGCAGTAGCCCTTTCAGCAAGGTCTGCTGCTGCCAGGCTGGTTTCAGCGAGCCCATGCTTCAAATTGCTCCATGAGAAAGGATGAATCCACATCTACAGAGCGAGCCCACAGACCCTATGTGCTGAATTACCCCTCCTCACCTCTGTGCAGTTTGCATGGGCTCCTCATCTCCACGCACACCTTCTGTGGACAGCACCTGGGAGGCCTGAAAAGGAAAATCCTAATATCATATAAAGCAATGCACACAGCTAACGGGGCTGGACAGGCTCTACTGGGTCACAAAGTTCTGTCCGTGGCATGGGTTTTCTTCCAGAAATGGTAAGTATCCATCCTGAACTAGTCAACTTTTGACTCCATTCCTCCCCTCTCTCTGCAATAATGCATAGCAGATGTGCTCTGGACAGCCTGTGTCCGTCCATTCCCAGGCCAACCCTGCCCATCACCTCCCAGCCCCTGCCTGCTCCCCGTGTCTGAAGTTGGCAGCAATCACAGCACTTTTAGATCTCCATTTGTGCTGAGATAAACAACCCAAGGTTTAGTGTCCTCCAGCAGCCCTCACCTGCTCCGGCTTCAAATCTATTTGCCTGAGTTTGGGTGACCTGATCAACACATACAGCTGATGTTTGACCACCAGAAGTACTTTTCTGAAATTTGTGTAGATAAGATCTGCTGCATTTTTCTTGGCTCAGAAATCAGCTGTCCTATCAAAGAGAGGGAACAGATTAACCTGCACAATCTACAGCCTGTAAAACCATGTGCATTTCATCCCATTTTTCATTTACCTCTCTGACTCCACTTATTCTTTCCTTTAAAATTTGTTCAAAAGCCTTGTGCACTGCTGAGGTCAGGCTGGCACGCCAGTCATTACCCAGATCCCTTTATTCTCCTTCAGTGTACATATTACACTTGCCATTCTCTAATCAGATGGAATTACAACGCTTTATTAGCAGCCCATGCTGTCAGGCCTGTGATTTCTCATGCCATTTTTCAAAGAAATCCAAAGGATTTTTCTCCCCCTTCCTCTCAGAGCCTGATTACTGCCATAGATTTCAACTTCCATCAGCTCCAGTCCCAAAACAGAGCTTCTTGCCAGATTTCCCTCTGTTTTATCTACATTGTTCTTATTTCTTCACAGCCAACTCATCATTAACATAAAATACCAACAGCTCCTCCTTTATTTTTATTTATTTATCTGTTGAACTGCAGATATCTTAAAAATGCCTCTGCCTTGATCACAACACTGCGTCATGCGGCTGTTTTGCGTGGTACGTATGCTTTAAGGTATAGCACTAATTCAGGTCACCAGATTCTAACTCTACAGAACTGGGTCATTTTCCTCTGAATCTGTCAAAAGACCAAGAGGCCCCTGACCTTATTTGAAAAGCTATGAAGGAACGCGTGCCTGGCACCGAGTCTGGTAGGGTGGCTGCCCAGTGATGGGACCTTCCAGCAATGACCCGTGCTGTGCGGAGGTGGCTCGGTGGCAGGTGCTCACTGCAGCTCTTCTGCACCCTCACTCCTCTGGTACGAGGTATGGGGCTTTCCAAGGGCAGCTGTGAGCCCCCACGGATGTCTCCAGCTCCTGCACACCCCAAAATCTCCCACTGTCCCCCCAGCAAAGCAAACCCTGGTGGCACTGGAGGGTCCCCGGCATCACTTGCGGCAGGGGTCAGTGCTGCCCTGTGGCCCTGCTTTGTCACTGCCGGTGAAATTGGATTTGATAGAGGAAAAAAATGGAGGCGAGGCACAAGCAAACATCAAACATATCGATCTTGCAAGTAAATCACCTGCACTGGCCTCAGCATGTGACTGTGCAGAGAGGCGAAGGGAGAAGGGAGCAGCCTCTCGGGCGCAGACTGATAAGGCAGATGAAAGGGTATTTAGAAATTATTTTCTCCCAAGTAAATAAAAAGCTGGGAAATTTGGGGCTTGGGCTGCTATTTCATAGCTCACTCCTCCTCTTGGTTTTTCACCTTATAAATATCAGGAAGATCAAATCTGCATACACTGAGAGCTCTCTGAGAGAGCTCTTGTGGTCAGGATGAGTACATTACAAGTTCCCACTCAGCACCACTAAAACCTATTTTTCTCCCCAAGAATTAATTAGGCATTAGCACTAAATACATCATAACAACAAAAAAAAAAAAAAAAAAAGAAAAACCCCACAGTTTACACTAGGGACTCAAAGTTCGTGTCCTCCCCCCCCCCAGCTGCTACTGCTTCTTGAGGGCTTTGGTGCACATGTGCACAGATCTGCAGGCACCTCGACCTTCCAGAGAAAAAGGAAAAGACATGGATGAAAAAAAGCAGTTCATCTTAAGGGCTTTTGTATCTATCCAAAAGAAACGGAGGAGGGCACAAGTCGGCTTCTTCCCTCTGCAGGTCACCTCTAAGGCTTGCTTCAATCCATATCTGCTAAGCCTCAGCCAAAGCACTGTCATGGAAAGTCACTTTCCAGCACAGAATGCTCTGCACTTTTTCTGCAACCAGAAAATGCAGACATGACGTTTTTCTTAAGTGTTCAATATTACAAGACAGAATATAAATATCACAAAACAAGTTAAGTATCTTTCTAACACCAGGGTAAATGATCAAATACACTTGAAAACAGGAACAACAGAGTCGAGGCTTCAGTCGTAGAGAAGATAAAGTTATACAATGATCCGGGAGTGAAGTCATTATGAAAAATGAGGGTTGGAAAAGGCTGACACAAACCTAAAATACAGCAGTAATAAATACTTCATCTGACTTGCAATCTGTTTAAACTTAGCAGTGACAGAAAGCTGCCTTCCGCTCCAACAAGAGCCCTGATGGAGACAGAGGCTGACACCTAGCGTCTAGCAGCCCCAACAAGCAGGCGTGGGGAGAAGGTGCCTGGCCACGGTTACAAGGACAGCGAGCAGTGCTGCTGTGACACAGCACCCTGGGCAGGCAGCACACACGTGCAGCAAAGCACAGCCAGCATCCCCCAGCTGCAGCACCACGAAGGGAAAGAGCACCTGCAGGGTGAAGGCACACGAACGCAAATGGACACGTGGATGGAAAAGGGAAGGCTGCACTGCAAGGACAAAAGTCACAAAGGCACAAAAAGCTCTCCATACGGCCGCAGGTTCCTAACTGGTTTTCTGGAGCTGTCGGTGGCACATGCTGTCACTGAGCTCGCTATCCTGACGCCCTGCCAGGCTACACCCCTTGAGAGGGAAGTGTCAGCTGGAAGTCTTTATCTCAGTGGTGCAGCGATGGACAGCTGCCAGGCTGCATGATGGCCCGACCACTGCGTGCTGCCAATCAGCCTGCAGCCTTCTCCTCTCTCTCTCTCACAGCAAGCAGCATGGTTAGGGAGGAAGCCTCTAAATGTACAAGGAGCACTTATCAGCAGCGCCGGCTTTGCAGAAGGGACTGAACCCTAAAATGGAGGGAAGACATGGCTGCTCAACAGCTGCTCAGCAGAGCTCTTACCTGGCAGTAGCTCGTGGTTGGTTCATCATCAGAAGTAGAGTTCTTCTCTTCTTCCACATTGTGCCCTGGACTTTCTGTCTCCCTCTTCTTTGAAGGGAGGAGCCAGGTGATGCTCTCACACTCCTTCTGAGTGCCTGGATCTCCATCTTCTGTGTCCTCAGCAACCCCATTCTCTCTGCTTATCTGCTCTCCTTTCCCGAGCTCATTTTGGCTTAAGGAAGAACTGGGCACAACTGGGTTACCAAACTCCTTCTTATGCAATAGCCGCCTCTGAGCCTGCTTCAAGCTTTTCTGGTAAACCTCCAGCTGACACAAGATGACACTGGTGTACTGGTTGGGGTCCACTCCTTTGGGGCAGAATGGGATTCCCCAGTAATAGTGCACCGTGTCTCTCACCTCCTCCTCCTTGTGCTTCTCCTCTGCCACATTCAGCATGCAAAGCTCAGGAGAAGAGTTGGACACCTCATTCTGCTCTGCTTGCTCTGTGGTAACACAGACCATGGCAGCGTGCCTGGACTTTTGGGTGTGCTTAGTACCTGTCCCTGAACCACTCATCCTGGGGCTGCCACTCTGCTCTGTGGTACAGCTCTTCAAGAGCTGGGCTGAGCTCCCAGCACTGGCTTCTCCCACAGAATGGCCAGAGCAGGGCAGGGGCTTCTCTTGTGGTTTGTGGTCTGCTGCTTTGGAAGAGCCAGAGGGGCCTGTGAACAGTCTCCGAGGTGTCAGCTGCCAGGAACCTGAAGGAACCCTGCCAAAGGTGGGACTCAAGGAGATGAGGTCCTCTCTCAGGGTGCTGGGTAACACGTTACTAGAATCATTCTTAGGTGGCGAGGAAGACTTTTCACTTGACCTTGTCAAAGGCTGGTTCTTCCCCGGAGACACGATTATGCTGGATACTAGTGAGCTTTCAACGATTTCCTGGCTTAACCTCCTCAACACTACCAGGGGGCTCCGGGCAACATCCATCTGTCCACTCCCATCAGCTTTGCTGCTCTGTGAGTGGGAGCTGCCCTTGGAGCAGGGGGTGTCAGGGCAAGGCGCCAGGCCTCCCAGGATCCCACAGCCCTCTTGCTCAGCGGGGTGGCTTTGGCCTTGTGTGTCCAGCATTTCCACAGACAACTGCGGGGTTGCACTGGAGGAATCCAAGGGCTGACAGCTCTGAAAGACAAGAGGTTGATTCTCTGAGAGGCGCGTTCCAGCAGCAGGGCATAGCAAGAATAGACTGCAGAAACCTGTGCGCTGCATCCCCAGGTCAAATCAGCATACCCCAAAACAGGAGACTTCATGTGCCGCTCACTAGGAATGGCACAGGACATCTACACTGTGACTGCTCTGCTTCCAGCTCCTGCTGGAAACTGCAAGGCATCCAGTAAAGTCTTCTTTTGTGCAGCGAGGCAAAGCAAACACAGAAAGAGACGCTGCTGAAGAACTGTAGTAAGCCTCTTCACAGAAGCACACTTACATTTAGGCTCTCAGCAATGGCCTTCCTCAAGAGTTCCTCTTCCTCCTCTTCCTGACAGTTCACTTGTCTGGCTTCTTGCTCACTCATTTTCAGGGCCAGTGCAAACTGTTCCTCTTCAGTCATCTCTACAGTAGGAAAAAAAGGATAAAGTCATGTCACAGCCGTAGGTGTATGCGAACACCCTACATTTATCCAACATCTTGAGAGATGTCCACAGAGTCCCACCTCCCCAGGAGGAATGCAGAGCAAAGCAGACAAACCTCAGCTTTCTTGGAAAGGCATCAGCAACACTAAACAGAACAAGTAACACAACTCACAAACAAATACAACCCCAGTTAAGGTTTCTGTAGCAGTCTGAACTCTGACTCCTTGGGTATATTAAGGGAATGCCTTACTGCCTTCACCAAACAATGTATTCTAGAGCTACAGAATGCGTGTGAAAGGACGTAGAATAAAGATTGCCAAATCGTGCTCATTTTATACAGGATGGAGTCGGGAGTAAGGCAGGATAAAGAGAACATCCTCCCTAATGCACTTTATTTCCAGGCAAATAGCATGTGTCGCTGCCTTCTGACACAAAGATGTCTGCAGTACCACAGGGGACCTAACCAAGAGCAAAAGAGCCGCACGCTGCTCACCCCAAGCTGCAGGTGGAAAGCTCCATGGAGGATAATGTTACTTGCTCGGCGGTATTACGAAGGATTTTTTACATGCATACATCCCCCTTCTGCTCACATCATTACTCCACTGCATCACTGAGTCAGTCATGCATGGGAAACAGGTTTCCTACAGTCATAACTGCTATTCCAGCAGAAAATTTCTTCCCAAAATATTCCTCATTCAGGGCAAACCAGAAGCTGAGACCGGCTATTTCGAAACAACGTGGCTACTTACTTTGGAAAACACTTATTTACTTAGATTCAGTCCAAAATTTCACTACGCTCAAAATATACGATGCCTGCAGAACAGAGCGCAGCGTGGAAAACAACTCAACAGCACTCTCAGGAGCTGAAAAATGCATCTTCACATTCACAGCAGACTGACAGATCTCCTTCAAAACCCACTCCCTCCTTCAGGCAGAATTCTGCACAGCCATCTCACACACAAACCGAGAGCCCTGCTCTCTGATCGGCTCCGAGAGCTCTACAACATGCACCTTGCAGCATTTTTTGGCTGCTCTGATTACCAGCCGTTAGATTTCCTCGCATGTCCTACTAAATCAGCACTTAGGTTTGGACGCGTAATTTCTCTTTAATAATTTCTTGAAGAATTAAGGCAGCAGTTGAGGCGAAGGCAGACAACAGCACACACAGGGCTCGTGGGGATCTTTTGTCCTTGGACAAAGTCACTCTGTAGTGTTCCAGCCAGCAGGGACCAGGGAAAAACACGCTCGCTGTAGCGGCAGGCACACAACAGCCCAGGGTACGAGAAGGCTCCCGTCCCCACGGCAGCTCCTCACAATACCAACACCTCCCAAGCACTCAGCGAGTGCGTGACTTGCTTCCCTGCCCAAACCATCACGGCAATTAGGCCAGACCCCGCTCGTTTTGACATGTGGAAGGGAACTGGTGCACGTGATCATTCCCACAACACGAGACTTCCCACGTGCTTAAATTAAAACGGGGGCCTAAGTGTTCTCCCGTTCGGGCTATCAACAGCCATGAAGCTCAGTGTAAAGAAACATTTTTTGGCGAGTTACTACTGTACATTTTGTTTTCCTCTCCCTCCCTGGCACAGCAATTTCCCCTCTGGGGACAGGGAACGTGCCAGACAAATGCTGCCTCTGGCACAGAAACCAGCGACAAACAAAACGCACTTGGTTCACGTTCCAATTGAGTAGGTGCTCTGGGGACGGGGAATGCTCGAGTTGAATTCCACCTGGCGTGCTGGTGGCTACAGAAAGGCTGCCAGAGAGCCAACGTGCTCCTCGTCCCACAGCCTGGGGCAGGCCTGCGTGCCGCGGCCCGGCGTCTCCGTGTCCTACCAACTGGAGGTGGATTACTGTGGTCATCATGGCGGCAGATCAGAGATTCAGAGCGCTGTGGTCTCTGCCTGGCACATGCAAGTACGGCTTTGGGAGTAAGCAGCAGGAGCCTGGAGCTCGCTCTGGTTCCTGGAGGCCGCTGGAGGCTGCTGGAGGCCATTGGAGGCCAATGGAGGCTGCTGGAGGCCACTGGATGCTGTCCTAGGGAGGGAGGGTCAGGGGGAGGCTGTTTTTAAGACATCACAGCCCTAAACAAATTAAAGCATTTCAGAGCCTTTTTAAATGCTAATACGGCAATTTGCTAAGCGATTTATGTTCCATTTTGACATTTGCAAAGTGAATTAGATGCAAAACCCTGCTAGTTGTAGCTCTAACACTTACTAATAAGAGATTTACTCAAAAATAATGGAAATGCAGGATCTCGGTATTTCCACAGACCCGAAGTGCAATTACAGCAAAAACATGGAAGTGTGCTTTAAAGCACCAACTGCACCCAGCAAAGGAGAGGGAGACTTGTTCACGTCTCTTTGTACTCCCATTTATCCCGTCGGGATGAAACGTCACAGATAGATTTTAGTTATGGCTTTAGGTTACAACGAATAAAACCACAACAAAGCGAAGATGGGAGGACACGCTTCATAACCAGAGCCTGCAAATATCTGCAATTTTCCAGTTTGGAGGAGAAAGTATTTTCTCTACCCAGAAGCACCAAATGGTTACAAAAGACCGATTCGCCTCACACCTCAAAGGATTCACTTAAAGACCCCGAGAAAAAATAATTACTATTTCGAATCTTAATTTGCCTAGAGGCAAACACCAAAAGCCCAATTACAGCTTGCGATAAAGGAGGGAGGCGAGCCAGCACCGCACGCACACCGTCTGCCTGTGCTGCACCGAAGCCATGCCCCGCACTGGCACCCACCAAGGAAAGAGGAAGACCTACATCAAGAGTCTCAGCACCTAAAAATGCAGCACAAGTCCCCTGTGACACAGGGGCAGAGCTTTGCGTGCTGCTTCTTCGAGGAGAACGCGGAATAAAAGAGCTCAGCCCTTCTCCCCCCCTCCTACGCCAGGCTCGCACAGCGGATGTCAGCTCCCACCAAGAGCCAGGCTGTTCCGTGCCATGGCCTTAGGCCTCTATTAAAAACAATTTAATTCGCACAAGCCCTCTGAGGGCTGATGAGCCCAACTGCTGCCGCTCGCAGAGCACCGGCGGGCTCCATTTTGCTCAGCGATTGCTCTGTGCTTTGCAGCAGACAACCTCTCTCTCATTTTAAAGCGGTCTGAATTTAACTTGTCTGAGTTGAACACACCGGCTGGACGGCTGCCTTGCAGAGCACGACAACGTGAGCCCACGGGCTGGGGCAGAGCAGCAGCCTGCTCTGTACGGTGGCTGTAACCAACAGTGCCACGCAGCCCACTGACAGCACTCCTTCTGCTTGTGTACCCACAGCGCTGACAACCACTCTGTGAGAGATGCTAGCAGGAACATTCCAGCCCATTCCCTCTAGCGTCTGTTTAGAGACCTGTTGTCTATGAATGCATTTAATCCCTCATTAAAGCTGCTGATGCTGACCTCTCTACAACCTCCCGTGACAAGCAGTTCCAGGAGATCACTACACGCTGTGTGAAGCATTACTTGCCTTCACCCATTTTAAACCTCTCTCCTGCTATTTCCACCGAGTGCACCCTGGCTGCTGGAGCTGGTAAACAACAGCTCTGCGTTCAGCTTCTGCACTGCTTTCTGCTGCAGACGGATCCCACACCACAGCCATTTGCTCTCTGTGCTGGGGGGTCTCAGGCCCACATCTCCATCCTATGATAACCCAAGCAGCTTCTCCCTGGATGTCCTTTCCTCGTCCTTGAGAAGCAGAGACCAGAACAGCACTGTTGATGTGGGTGCACCAATGCTTTATGTAACAGCAAAGTGACATACAACAAACCTCTTGTTCTTCACACCCCCTGCCACAATGGCCAGCACAGCTGGCTGCCCTGTGCTACAATTTACAGCAGAAGGGTCTGAATGGGAAAGCACTTTGTGTCTGAAGGGGCTTTGGATCGGGTTTGTATCGGAACTGATATCAAAACCTGGTGAGGTACAGACAATCTTGAACAATTATTTTGGAAGCACTGGGGTGCAAGTGACATTCAGATGGCAGATCCTACACCTAAGAAGGGAAGCTGTGTGTCCCAAGCCCCTTCAAAGCCTTTCTGCAAGGGAAATAATCTCAAACACAAACAGCAGAAGCTGCTCAGCACCAGTCTGCTTCCCCAGCCCCACGCTCAAGACCTACGTGCAATTTTTCTTTTAGCAGCAAACTTCGTTCTATCCAGCTGCTGTTTTGCTCTTTTCGTTTGCAATCCGCTGTCTTCCTTTGACTCCTGCTGTAATGGAAAAAAAATATGGTGAGCGCATCCAATATGTAGGAAATACTACCAGCTCCCTCCCCCCCACCACTCTGACACAAACACTGGTTCAAGAACAAGCCGCTATTTGTGTGAAATTTGAATTTCAAACATAATTCAAGCACATTCTGTAACTATTAAAAGCAGTGTGATGAGCATAACGAGCAAAAAAGAGTTACAGACTGACATAAACAGAGAAGTAGGAGAGACAATAGACTTCGTGCCAGTCACCACCAAGCTCTGCACCTGCTGCCTATGATTTTAGAGAGAATGCGTTTGGCCTCACTAAAACTTCAGTATTCACAAGCACTCAAAATGGAGAAACAAAACCTTTCTGTGAGTGAACACCTCATACCTGTGAGCCAGGGCTGTCTGCTGCCATTCAGCTCCCAGTACTCAACCCACCAGCATTCAGCCCAAATGACCATCACTGGCCAAAAACAGAATCCCAGCCATTTCTGGGACCCCCCAAATGCATCCCAAGGGCAGAAGCCAGCTGCATTTAGTTCTGGTGCCATTCTATCCTCACAGCGCCCTGAGAACTGCCACAATTGTGTCATTTTTGAAGCTTGAATACTTCAGAAATCTGCAGTTGAGTGGCCTCCAGCAACATCACCCATGAGAACAACCCAGCCCATGCTGCTTTAAGCACGCTGACTGCAACAAGAATGGTCACAGGCTTAATTGGCACACATTTATGCAAGTTGCTGTCCTAACAGCTTAAGTGAGGGCGTACACATCACCGAAGGCTGGCCCTGGACCCCTTCCAATTTGTCTCTCTAAATCAGGTAGGATTAGAATCAAACACAGCATTTTAGGCAGACACCCACGCCTGGCCAGGAAAGGACTTCACACAACTCCGCCTGCAGCCTCATTTGGGTGTTGCTGTCCATGAGACCTACAGCAAACTGCCCCACGCTTCTGCCTCACGTCACTTTCGTAGTGGGTCTCCATAGTGGGGTAGTGCTTTCCTGCAAAGGGAGGCTCTACTCATTTCCTAACATCAGCAGCTCCTTCTGCCCATGTTTTGTAACCTGTGGAGTCCTTGGGATCAAACCTCAGCACTGAGTTTTGTTCAGATGTCTTCAGCTTTAGCTCTATCTGTAGATTTTATTAATGTATATACATCACTTGCTCGTTCTTGCAGATCATTAATGAGGGTGTTAAAACACTCACAGCCCTCGTATTGATCCCCCCGGCCTCAGCTTTACATCTCCCCAGAACAAGCCTCCCTTCTCTTCATCACCAGCCTTTGCTGACAGTTCTTTAGCAGGATTTCAATCCAGGAACGTTACTATCCAGACAAAATTGAATTATTTATCCAAGTAAGGTTTTGCAAGATGTGCCATTAAGTGGTTTCCTGAAATCCTAATACATCACAGCTTTCATGTCTCCTAATACCTGCTTCACTCCACACTCCCACCGACTTCAGAGCCCGCTCATAGTAAGGCAGCAGCACACTCCTGCTCACGTTAAGGGTGTTTCTTTAGGCTCCTTCCAGTCCCCAGCCAAGCTTGGGTTTTGTTCTCCATTTCTGAGGTGTCCCCGTGGGCAGCTCACCCCCTCAGGAAGTGGGATCACAGCAAGGAGCGCGTGCTGGAGGAAGAAAAGCAAAAGCTTTCCTCCTCTCCCTCCACTTGTCTAATGGTGCTAAACTCATGCTGCAAATTCTGGGGCAATGTAATCCTCGCAGGCTCTGCCAATCCCCAGCTCTCCTCTCCAGGCATCAATCTTCCCTCATCACTCTTGCTCTTGCCGGAAGGTCAACCTGACACTCATCTGCAGCTCTCTTCCAGGGCACTGACGTGATTTACGAGCACACCAAACTCACCATCGGTCGGTGTGCATTTACAGCACGCACTGCAGGGCAGCGCTGGGCTCGGGCACCTCCAGAGCTGTTGGGGTCACGGTGTGCCCGTGTCCTGGGCGCCCCCGGTACGTGTTTCTGTTCCCTGTGCTGGGACCTGAGCAACACTGGCATTTGCAGCAGTGGCAGGAGCAAAATGCTTGCAGGACACGTGTTGTACCAACCTCGTACATCTGAGCGAGATGTTTAAATTGCTCAGCAGCGTTCTACTGAACGGCCACAGCACAGCGAACTGCTGAAGCAAATCCAATTAATCCTGATGGGCCAAAATATACACACACACACACATCTCAATTCCAAGAATTCTTAAATCTTTTTATTTTTAAAACCAGAAAATAGAACGTACCTTTTAATTAGGATTTATGGCTGTTTGTACCTCTGCTGGGAGAGAATCCCGCAGGCCCCAAAGCGTTCTGCATAAATGTGGGTGTGGATGCTAGGAAATGAAGGGGCCAAGGAATCACAGGAAGATAACAGGGCTTGCTCCTCCTGACCCAACCTTTTAATGCTCATCTGTCTACAAGGATAATAGGAACTCAGGGGGCCACTCAACCAACTGCCTTTCTAATAAGATCACTAGTCCAAAAATAATCTTAATCAATTAAAATATTCCCAGACTGCCACCAATACTCTTAGTTACAAGGTCATCTCCAACACACAACTTCCAGGGGAAACTAATTATTACAGCTGAGGTGAGGTAGGAGCTGCACACCTCTGCTCAGTGCCAGCCTGGAGAGCGTCTCTCCCTCACCGTCAATTTAAAGTGTAATGGCCAGAAGGAATCCAAATTCTCTTTCTGTGTGTCAGGCTCCACAGTCTAATTTATGACGCTCTCTTATGAGCAATCTCACTGTCAGCATTGTACACAGATCAACGAAAAAATGGGTTTCCAAAGCTCCCCACACACTTGGTGGATGGCAGCTGCTATTCTTCTCCCTTGTTTTTTAACCTGCTTGGTTTCAACACACAGCAGGAAAACAAATTCCCATTTTAAGATGCTTTTGCACATACTTAGGAGAACCCAGCTCCACCAGTAGAAACAGACACAGCTCTGCTTGCTTCTAAAAGCCCATAAATGGAAGCGACTCGCCAGACTCCCACATCCTGCTCCCTTGAATCCACATCATCAACCACAGAAATCAGCTTCTATTGACTCAGGGAAGGAAAGGCTACAGGAGAAGCAGAACATAGAGTCAAAAGGTCTGCTTCATTTTGCTGCTCAATAGCAGTTGGGACCATCTAACAATAGAGCACAGCCAAACGCCGTGCATCCTACATGGGAAATACGCAGATAAAAACCAGACTCATTTATTTTTAAAAGCTAATTAGATGTTGGAAGTGCCATGTTTGGTTCTAGCCAAGGCTGCTGCTGAAATTAATATCACACCCTACTTTATTAGTCTCTGACTTCAGTTCAGAATCTGTTTTGGTTCTGCTCTTTCTTTCAGCTCATTAGAACAAACCTGCTGGAAGCGGAGCGTGGAACAAGGAGACACGAGCAGCCTCCTGCCAGATGTGGTTTCTGACACACAGCAGGAGGCCAGGGAAGAAAAGAAGGCTTTTCAGTGACCAGCTAGTCCAGGCAGTGCCTAAACACTGCTCTCCCTCTATCTCCCAAAAACATCATCTGATCCAGAACATCAATAAATGCCAGTATTTACTCAGACTGAGCATCTTCAAGCAGGAATACTCAGACAGAGGGATGCTCAGTGCCTATGGGGAGGCAGGCACTGGATGCCATGCAGAACGAGCCGGCACTGTCACATTCCCCAAAGGCTGCAGAGCTGATGGATGGCAGATCTGGCAGAAAGAGCCTATGAGACTTCAAGTGAATGCTACAAGTGCAAGCAAAGCTCACAAAGGATCCATCCAAAAGAAATGGCTTAAGCCACCTTTACATGAGCCCCCCTGCGAGGTTCCACATTGGATCAGCAGGATTTTAGCATCCGGAGATCCATCAACTGGATTTGCACAGTGAATGGGCCTCTGGCTATGCTCTGCACTTGTCCCTGCCCCTCCTGCTGGGTGACAAACACACTTCAGAAAATCCCAGGGGAACCAGCAACCCAGCTGGGGGGTCATGAGGCAAAGCAGGACTTGCCACGCTCAGAGAAAGCTCTGTTGGGCACTGTTAGGAACGTTGTGTGCTTGGATGCAAGTGAACGACCTGCCTTTTGGCACCCAGTGCTCCATACGATTTGAAGAGTCAGGGGAGACAGGAATGACTTCGTTCACTTGCCACTTCTGTGCTCTCAGAGAAGCAGTCTGCACACAAAGGAGATCATCTCCTCTTGTTTCCACAAAGCCAGAGAGACTGTTCCTAATTTGTCTGGCCCTTAAAAACAAAAAAAGAGTTCCCTGAATCCAGGATTATATATAATAGAGATCAAAAAGCCGCATGTCCAGAAAAATTCCTTCTGATGCAGCTCTGCAGATGCCACAGCACAGACATGAGCAAAGAAAGAAAATTTGGCAAAATAACATGGATGAGCTTGATAATCCAGCATGACTGAAAAATTCCTGGGAGAGGCAGTCTGCCAAAGATCATCAAAAGTGAGAAGCTGGAGGCTTTCCAGGTGCAGCTGCTACAAGATCTGCTGGTCTGGAAGCAGAACTAGGGACTTGTTCCATAGATACCTGCCAAGAGACTGCCAAGGAAGAAAGCCATTGAATCAATGATGCCCAAATTGTCCTTGCAGTTTTTGATTCATAAGGAACCATGTCCTAACAGATGCAAGATTAATTGAGAATGTATTGTTCTCTAAAATTGCTATTGATCTGAGTTTCCCACACCTCTTCTCAAACACATAACAAGGTCTTGCTAGAGCAAGAACAACAGTTACAGGGTCTGAAACTGAAATCCAACTTGATGTACACTGAAGAGCTGTGACAGTTACACGAAACAGACAGGATTTTTTCTTTTGAGATCCCATGCAAATCGAATTTTTGGGTGGTTTTACAGAAAACAACGCTGCAAGAGACTGTGGCACTGGATCTGGGAGCTGATGACTCACAGAAAGAGAGTGAACTGAATAAATCCACTCACTCAACCGACTGAGCTGTTGTCACTTAAACAGAACCTAATTGGCTCTTTAACGGCCTCTCTGAGCATATCCTTTTCTGTAATATGACCGATTATGCCATCAGAATTTATTGTTTATAGACAAACTTACAGAACAGTCAGGGAGCCTAACCTTTTTATAGATGTGCTTTAAGAGACGTTTGTTTCCTCTTTTTCAGATACGTGCACATTGAGATGAATAATTGTAGACAATAACAGGTCCTGATCTTTTATGTGCTGCAGCATCTCTTACAGCTGCTGATTTCTTTTTTTCCTTATAGGTTTCACAATAAAGGCCAGTGATGCAGCATACATCTGAAGTTAACTTAGCATATTGCAGAGCTAAGGGTTTAACCCCAATGAACTATTACTGCCATATGTTCCATTTCTTTCAGGGAATTTCCCAATGGGAAAGAACTCAGACAATGCGAAGAAAAAACATCCAATATCATTTGCCCTACAGCTTTTTACTGTTTATTTCTAGTGCTTTTCCCCTCCTCACATGATAATCGCCTTATTGTAGAGACTCATGCTCCAGATGTGGGAACGAAAAGGACTTGATTTAAGATCTACAGCTTGAGAGAGAACTGAAATGCTTTTGAAAATGGTGGAATTACAAAAAGCAGCTTAGGATCCCAAATCACTGGCAAGACAGAGCAAAGCCTCAACAGTCATACATAAAAAAAATGACTCTAATAATTTTCTCTCGTGTACCTCAAGCTGAGGACAGCTTCTCAGAGCTCTGGGTTTTTCCAGCTGGGAGTTCTCACACGTATCCCAGCATCAGTGTAACAGGCACAAACATCTCAGTATTGCAGGATGAGGCTCGTATTAATGAGATGATGCCAGGACTGGACCTGAGCTTTTGTGTCACACTCACTGCATGGCTCACCTTTACACCCTACGGCAACGGGTTAAAAATTCAGACTTCTGTAATTCAGGATCAGTTTACCAGACACCAGCTGTGCCTGAGCTACTCGAAGCCTGTGTTCTGAATCATTCTCTTATCTATTTGCAGATAATACAGAATCACGTTTCTACGGTTTAGCTGGAATCAATCAAATAAAAATTATGGAAAAAAAAAGATTTGTAAAGGGATTGAGGAAAGGTTACTTTTAAATTACGTTTCAAATTCTGTTCTGAGAGGATTTGGTTATCAAATCCCAGACTCATAACTCACCCTCACCAAGCACACCATTCATTTCCTAGTCAAATAGGATTGGATTCATCTCACAGAATAGAAGAGGAATGGCACAACATGCCCCAGCACATCGCACGGGTGCTCCTGCAGCAGCAGGGCCTGGCACAGGCTGAGCACTGACCTCTCCATCGCTGTCAGATATAACAATAAACGCGTCCACAAAGCTGCGTTTCTTCTTGGCATTGGCTGCACGCCCCTTCTCTTCCTCCTCTTCTTCTCCATCCTGACCTCGAGAGTCAGGGCCCTCTGCGGTCTTCCTTCTCCTTGGCATCCCTGAAACAGAGGGAAAAACTAAAAGCCATTTGTTTCCCTCTCATTTAGATTTTCCCTAATAAACAGCCCTTTCTTTTACTATTTTTAGGCAAAATACAGCAGCCATTAGAACCTTATTACAAAGTGTGGTACATTTAGCAGTACTGGGAGCCACACGTGCTTGTCACCACTCGTTTAGTTAAGAATACTTTATTAGAGGCGATTGCAAAAAGGGTTTCAGGGGAACAGCAACAGACAAGCGCCTCGCCCAGAGCCCTTGCTCCAACAGAACGAGGCTTTCCTCTTCACTTCAACCATTAATGCTCCCCAGCAAGCTGCCCAAAGCAGTGCTCCCAGCACAACCCCAGGCTTCCCACCCCCACACAGCCCCGGCGCAGAACACACTTGGATGGGGAGCCAAATCAAGCCAAGGGGACTGGGAGGAGAGGACCAGGATGAGAACAAGTAATGCAACAACAGCACTCGGTGCTTCCTGAGTTGGAAATCAGGGAGCCCTACGAGGTGGCTGAGCACCATCAGCTCTGGTTTTGCTGGAAGGAAGCGCGCAGGGCAGTGAGCAATGAGCCCCTCGTCACACACAGACAGTGCAGAGATGGAAATGCAGCCTGAGTTGGCCGGCTCCCAGACCAATGTCCTTCCCAGGATCCCTCTGCCTTCCTTTGCGAGCACTGAAATAGCTCAAATGCGCTGCTGAGGTCTAAAATAAGAGGCAGACAAGATGTGACAAAAGACCCTGCGTTACACAATGCAGAGCCAAACCCTCTTCTGTAGCATCGCAGAACTGCAAACAGCCACGAAAATGCTGCAAGCATGAAGTTCAGAGCCACATTAGCACTACAGAAAGGGGTGCACTCCCCCCCTACAGCCAGGCAGCACTCGGTCCAGGTTGGACAAAGAGAAGGATATGTGCTGCCTCTGAATTGCTGCAATGTGCAGAGCTTCCCATGCCTGTCTCCTCTGCACACATTGGTGTGGAGAAAAAAAAGATGATGATCCGGTGAGCAAGGATTTGCACTGAAGACTTGCTGAGCCCTCTAAAGACGGAATATTGTACAGACTGCACACACAGCTCCAGAAGCGGCTGCAATCATCACTGCAGTCCCGAAACGCTTGTCTGTTTGGGATGGGAAAATTAAAACAAGCACTGCTCTATAGAGAAGCTCTTGCAAAACAAAGCTGTTCTGCTCCAGCTGAGCTGAACCTTGACTGCTGTTGGAATATTGCTGTGATACTTTCTCTGTTTTTCATCTTTTGCTCCAACTGGTCTCTTTGCCCTGTGCCCACCCGGCTTCAGGGAACCGCAGCCCATTATCAGCAGAACACACAAGGGTTTCAGTTCACCACCTGTGGCCTGGTACTGAGCCTGGGCAGGGTCACTGCTTTTGGAGTCGTCAGTGGCAAAACACAGCAGACAGCAACAAGGAGCTGCAAAGCATTTCTGTTTGATTCGTGTTAAAATCCGTGCTGGTATCACCAGCTCTCCCCTCCGCTCGATGCACTGTGCTAAATAAGAGATCACCGAGCAGCATCAGCTGGAGTTACGATGAGTCACCTACCTCCAACATTTAAAGAGGGGGGGAAAAAAAAAAAAAAAGATGTAAAAGATGTAACCACACAACTCCCACAACGCTGCCGAAAATGAAGGGAGTTGTGGCAAAGAGCCTCTCTGTGAATGTAACTAAGGGAACAAGACAAGGAGAGATCACTTGTAGCTGTGCGAGGCTGTGAGTAGGAGAGCTGTAACGGCTTTTATTAGCCCAGCTGATAGAGCTGAAGAAAACAAGCAGCAGTGCACACCCCCAGGTAAGGAAGCGTGCACAGAAGCTGCGTTTTGCTTCCAGCACTTCTGCAAAGGACGCTGCTGGTATCCACTGCGCCAGTGTCTGCTTTCAGACAGTGAAAGAAAGCCTGAATCGGCCAAACCTACCTCTGCCTGTTGTCTCCCAGACGCGTTTTCCAATTTTTCACTTTTTACGACTTTAAGAGAATTTCTCTGCAAACGCTCTGGCAGCAAAGGTGACCCCCTGACAAGGGGCCTCGCACATGCCACGCTTCCACAGGCACATTTTTAGGGATATCCTTGAAGATCCCCAACTTGTGATTATTTGTCATTTTCCCTCTCATCTATCATTTTGATGAATCAGAAAGCAATTACCGACAGAATAATTCTAAATCTTGACACTGCAGCTCCAGACCTGCCAAGCTGTGACAGCTTGAAAAATGCTCGAAAACGGGAGCCAAAAATGAATGACTCTCATCCCCGGATGAGTTTTGGAGCCGCTCGAGACTCAGGCTGGCGTGCGGTAAACAACCCCTCCTGCTCGCAGGGAGGGCCGCGGTGCTGCCAGGCGCACAGCAGCGCCGTGCACGCAGCTCGGTGCCACGCAGCTCCCCGCAGCCACCAGCCCCGCACCCCGGGAGCAGCCGATGCTCCGTGACGCGACGGCCTGCAGCACCCCGGGGGGACAGGGGGGCGTTCGCAGGGTTCGTGCACAGAACGGCTCCTCGCAGGAGGGGCCGCAGAGGCCGAGGGCACGGCCGAGCTCTGCGCGCCGCTCAGCCCCTCCAACGAGCCCGTTGCAGCCCTGCCTGCTGCAGAAGCGCCCCCCGCCCCAGCACCCACCGCAGGCACCCCGTGTGCCCCGACGCGGCCGCTCAGCCCTCCTCCCGGCCCGCGGCCACGCGGATGGGGTCGGGGCTCCTCCAAAAGCGCCGCCCGGGGGCTCGCGGGGATGCGCTGCCGCGGGGCAGCGGGGCCGGGCGGCACCGCGAGAACAGGAGGGCGGGAGCCAAGCCGGCGGCACGGCAGGGGATGGGGACGCGCGCTCCGTACCGCAGCCCCGGGCCGCAATCAGGCTCCGCGGGACACGGCGGTGGGGCGATGCGGGGAACCCCGGGCCCGCTCGGTACCACCGCCAGCCGGGCCCCGCCGGCACCGCCGGGATCGAGGCCGCTCCCGGGCTCACCCCGAGGGAAGGCGGCGGCCCGGCTCCCGGCGAGCCCCCGGGCAGGGCGGCGGCCCGCAGCGCTGCGCAAGGCCCCGCGGGACGCAGTCGGTCCGGGGCCCGCCGGGACCCCGCGCGCAGCCCCCGCTCCGCCGCGCGGCCACGGAACTGCCGCCTCCCGCCACCCCATGCCGCCCCGAGCCGCGCTCAGCGGGTCTCTTACCCGCACTCAAGTTACGGAGGAGGCCTCATTGCCCTCACTCAAGATGGCGGCGCCGGCGTCGCGTCACGTGGGAGCCAGGAGGGCGGGGCGGGGCCGGGCGAGGCGGGCGGCGCCATGTCGCGTGCGGGCGGCGGCGGGAGGCGAATGCAGCGCGGAGAACGGGGGGGAACGGCGCTGCTTCCTCCGCTCGGAGCGTCTCGGGGGAGGCCGGGATGCCCTGTCTTATCTCCTGGTCGAGTTCTCGCAGGGGGAAAAATACAACGGCGTCGCCTAACTGAATCGCGGTCGTCTAGCTTTGAATCAAAAAACGTCCGACGTCCGCCTCGCGCCACGCCTCTCCGCGTGCGGCGATCGCGGCGACAAATGGCGCCGCCGCGCTGCCGGAGACGAGGAGAGCCCGCCTCCCCGCCGCCCTCAACCAACATGGCCGCCGCCGCCTCGCCCCGCCAGCACGTGCCGCGCGCGGCGCTCCCGCGGGAAGCCGTCCGGCCCCGCCCGCCGTCGCCAGGCGACCGCGGCTCTCGCGAGAGCGACGGGGGCGGCCAAGATGGCGGACGGGGCGGGTAGCAACGGGGACGCCGCGGCGCTGCCGGTGGGCAAGGAGGCAGGTGAGCGGCCCGGGGCGGGGGAGCGGCCCGGTGGGCGGCCCCGGGGAGGGAGGGCGGCCGGGCAGAGTTGGAGCGGTTCGGGCTGAGCGCGGTGTGTGTTGGCAGTGGAGCGGCTGATCCGGGAGAACGGGCACATCTTCACCGAGGCGCAGTGCAAGGTGTGCAGCGCGCTGCTCATCTCCGAGTCGCAGCGCCTGGCGCACTACCAGGTGAGCGCCGCGCCGGGCGGGGCTGCGGGCGGCCGGGCAGGGCCGGGTAACGCTGTGACTGCCCGCAGAGCAAGAAGCACGCCAACAAGGTGCGGAGGTACCTCTCCATCCACGGCGAGGAGGAGCTGGCGCCCGGGAAGAAGATGAAGCTGGACGCCAAGGTGAGACGAGGGCCGGGCCTGGGGGGTCGTGGGCTCCGAGCTGAGCGCTGCTGGGCGGCCCTGCCGTTCCTTGTGCTCTTAGAGAGGGATCTGTGGTTAAGCCGTGTCGGTGAGTACGGCTCCTGTCGCCTTTCCCTCCTAAAGAGCTGCACGTTGCCTCTTACTGAAAGGCCCTCCGAGAGGAGCGGGGGAGCAGCAGGTTGCCAGGAACATCACTGTGTAACATTTTGTTTCGCTGGCAGCACGGTGCAGGGTGCGCGGTTTGCTGGACTTTGTTGTGCACTTTTGAAGTTTTATTTCAGCTTCTTGGTCAGTAAGGGGAACGCCTGCCAGCTGTCTGCTCCATGGCTCGTTTGGGAAACATTCTACTTCTGTGATTGCTTCAGCTTTAGTCCCTAACCCTCATAGGTTTGTTGTATGGATGGAGGGGAGGATGAAGGAGGTTGCCTCCGTGCGGTGCGAGGCCTAACAGTGACTGCTGCTGCCTGCCCAGCTGGTAGTGCTGATGGCCCAGCTGATAGCAGCGTTTGTGCTTCTTAGCTCACACCTTAGGGAGCAGGGGGCAGCTCGGCTCTCGCTGCCGTGCAGTTAGCTGTGTGCTGGGCCCATGCAGGCTCTGACAGCTCCTCTACCTGCAGTGTTTCACTGAGACTGAGAAAAAGAGAATCTGAAGCAGGAACACTGTCCGGTGAAGGAGAGGATGATGCTGTGCCATGGAAGTCCCATTCAGTCAAACAACTTCAACTTAACATTCAGTGTCTCTGATGATTTAGTTTCTTGAATGCCTTAGAATTCCTTCTAGTAACAAACTTTCCCAACCTCAGTCATTCTGTGGTTCTGTGCGCACAGGAGAGCAAGCAGGAAGGCACCAACGGAGAGGACAGGAACAAGTGTTGTCCCATCTGTAACATGACCTTTTCTTCTCCTGCTGTGGCCACGTCTCACTACCTGGGGAAGACTCATGCCAAGAATGTGAAGCAACAGTCCCCTAAAGTGGAAGGTAAGTCTGTCTGCAGTGCCTTTGTGTTGTGAAGCTCAAACTAGGAAAATGCTGCATGTAGTGGTTTTCTATTAAGAGGTGCCATTGGACATGTCATCCTTTTTGTGTGTGTGTGGTCTTGCCTGTGAAACAGGAAAAGCCAGCAGTGTGCCTCCAGATCACAGCCTTTATCAGCAACGTGCTTGGTAGAATGGCTTGGCTAAATGTTCCTGCATGCAAGGAATGGGACAGAGCCCGTTGTTGTTCATGCAGCTGTAGAAGTATCTGTCACAGGATGTGATGCTTGCTTAAAGCTTACAGGGACAAAAAGCGACTGGTGAAACGCCCATGAGATGAATTTGTCAGGCCTGCTCAGCTACAGGGCTGTAGCTTCTGTGGTTCAGGGACTTCTGAGCTGCAAACAGCTGGAGGCTGGGAGAGTGACGCTGGGAAGTGTGAATGTGTGCTCGTCCTGACCTCGTGCTTTGCCCCTGCTGTCTGCCATGGCACATTCTCAAGGCAGGCCCTGACTGTGAGAAGCCTTCAGGAAGGGAGGCTGGATACCCGGTCTGGTGTCTGCCACTTCCCTGTGAGAAGAGCCTGCAGGTGTTAGCTCCTCTCTTTGTGTTTGTGCCCCTGCTGGGAGTTGTTTTACCATGTACCTTCCAGTTCTGGAGCAATAAAAGAGGAGGTTGGGGCAACACGGGTTTATCTGGAGGTCTTATGTCCTCTGACCAGGTTCCTTTTGGGGCTGTTTTATGGTTTGGTTTTGGTTGTTTTGTTTTTTTATTATTATTATTTTTATTTGTTTGTTTGTTTAATGCATGTTTTGGGGAAATAAAACTACCTTTTTTTTTTCTATCTAACTGACCAAGAGTTTGGATTCATCCTACAGAAGTGGTGCCCGCACAGAAACATCCTGCTACCCTCCCCACTTCTACTGTATCTTCTAATGAAGAGAACAAGGACATTACAGACCCAGACAAGTTCTGTAGCCTCTGCCATGCCACTTTCAACAACCCCCTTATGGCAAAACAACATTATGTGGGCAAGAAGCACAGAAAGCAAGAAACCAAACACAAGCTGATGGCACGCTATGGCCGAACTCCTGACGCACCGGCATCGTCTTTCCTGGGTGAGTTTTCAGCAGGCAGGCTGGTAAGGAGCTGGAGAGCAGGGTGGGAGAGTAGCAGTGTATGTCTGACAGGTCTCTGAACAAGGGATTCTGTATGGAGGGAGCAGGGGAGGATTGCTCGTGGTGAGGATCTTGATGATGCCCCATAAGACTGATCTGGTTGGTACTATAATTCCTTGGCAGCAGGAGAGGTTTTTTAGACTGTAGCTGCTGGTGAGGAACTTTGAGTTGTGTTTTGCAATGTTGTCTCATCAAGTACGTGTCCTTTTTATTCTCTGTGCGGATAATCCAGGGATTTTGGCCTGTGCTGTTTCCAGCTAGGTGGATTGCATCCAAAATGGAAAGATAAAAGTGGCATTTGATGCTTAAAAAATGTCTAAGGAACTAGGCAAAGATGGAAGAAATAGGTTTAACTGCACCTGCTGCTTCAAAGCGCATGAAAGCCAGAGAGATTTCTCCCTGAATGCTTTCTGCCTCTGTGTGGGCACTTCATCTGATGAACTAATGCAACTCTCTCTGGAGCAAGCAGGAATGTGGAAAAAATTGAGCTATTAAGGAGGAACTTTAGGCAGACAGTTAATACTCTTTTGGTTTATGATCTGTTCCTTATGAGTGCTTCTATATGATGAAAGCCCTTGGAGTCCAGTGAAAGCATTAGGAGCTCACAGTGAACTCCCTTGTTCTTTCTAGCATCCTTCTGTTGGACCAGGAAGTGTGTAGTACCCTGTTGGATGCTTGAAGTATATAATAAGCAGACAAATCATCTTAAAATCTTCTTCAACAGCTTCTTTCTCTGTCATAAAAATGCCCATAAGCAGAAGATTAATTATTCTAATTCTTTGCAGGCCACCTTTAGCTACTGGTAGCACTTATGAGAAATGAAACTCAATTATCCCAGTAATATTCTCTCCCACATTGTGTAGTCATGTGGGAGATGGAAAAGGTGCTTCATATCTTGTGTTGCCCATCTGCTCTTTACCTAATTAGTGGGGCCTGATCAATGGTTCCATTTTGTTGTGACTCAGGCTGTGGAGCCCCAACCCAGGCTGGGTAAGTGGGCAGTGCTGTTGCCATGTGATTGATGTGTTCTGTGGAGAGCTTACAGAACTGGAGTATCTCCATCCACATCTCTGTGTTGCTTGAGCTGTTCCAGTTGAGGTTACAGAGCTGTGGCATAGTGTGGAGCTGTTCTGGGGGGGACAGGCTGCACTCAGGGATGTATTTTCCTGCTCCCTTTGGCTGTCTCTATGTGTTGACAGCTATGCCAAGCTGGCATGCCAGCATAGTTCTTCCCAGCCCAAACTTCTCGTTCTCTCCTACAAAACCGGGCTTGAGATCAGACTTATACTTTTGTAAAGGCTCTGGTCTCTAAACATACATTCCCTGTTGGGATCTGACCCTCAGCAGATGAAGATGTGTCATTCAAAGCAGAGCCAAGATGCCTTTCTGCTTAAAGCTCCTCTAGGAGCCATCCATGTGAGGTGCTGGAGTGTTCCCTCAATAACCTGTCTACCTGATTTTCAGCAGTGATATCTCGACCTCAGTTGTGAAGGGAGGTAGGTGTGAGTGCTGTGACAGCTCCTCTGGCCCTTCACATCCAAACCCAGCCATTCTGAGAGTTAAACAGTGCCCACTGGAGTCTGAAATCTCTGTGGGGCAGCAGCCAGATGGGGAAGCGTCTGCTGTGCCACGTGTTGTGCTTCTCACTCAGTGATTATGCTGCTCTGCACCCCCTGAGTGAGTGTCCCCTTTCCCCTTAAGGAAGTGTTTACTTTGTGAGGCTCCCAGGCAGAGCCCTTCCCCAGAGAGCCGGAATTGAGGAGCACATAATGCTGCAGGGATGTATGCCAGGACTTTCCCATTACGGGCTGCTGTGGCCAGCTCTGTTGCTTTGCTTGCTTGTTTGCTATCTATGACCCCCAGATCTTTCATTCCAGCAGGATCTGTCATGATACACACAACCACTGCTCTGCCTCCTGCAACTATTGTCACTTTTTTTTTTTTTTTTTTTTGCAGTTACTAATACACTGACTGTAACTGAAGGGCCTGAGGATAGAGTTTAGTTTAGTATTCCCAACTGGCACCTCTGCAAGGCTTAGCAGAGCGCTGCGCTGTGGAATTTGACGTTGTGTATAATCTCCTCTGGCTGCTTTTTTTTTTTTTTTCTTAATTGAAACATCAAATTTACAAATTTAGTATCTCCCTTGATTTTTTGTTAGGAGACACAGATCAGGAGAAGTGGGAATTTTGGAGAAAAGTTGCAGAGGCAGTAGAACATCAGCTTTGGTGTACTAATTGCTAAGTTTTCACCTATCTGATATTGTGAACTGGTTAC